AAAGAAAAGTAAACTGAAAAAACTACAAGCTCAGATATAACGATAGACCACTTGCATTCACTACATTTTGACAAAGAGGTTTCCCAAATTATCTTTTAAAACTCCCAGGTTTTCTTCTAAAGAGCAGCATCTTTTGTACAAGGCTTGTTTTCTACTGTAGCAGCGCAGAGTTTGGTTCACTTTCACGCATTCTTCCCTTTCACTGTTATGGTGATCTCATACAGCAATCTCCTCAATCTGCTGTCTCAGCCACACAGTCACCAGCTACAAATCTGTATTCTGAATTGACTGCATTGCTGCTATGTGTGGCCAACTGTGAAGGTCTTGTATCTTTTGTCAGGTATTCTGTCCCAAAGCCCTGCTTCTCAATTAAAAACAATGCCACCCAAACTGTCTGGAACTCAGAAGAGTGGCTGACACCGGAGTTCAGCTGAGAACACAACTTCTTCATTTACTTTTATACTGTTTTATTTACTGTCAAGTTTTCAGTTTGTCACTTCAATGTCAATTTTCTTTATTATTGTCCTTCTCTGTAAGCTACAAACAACTATGTACATCTTGTTCATAAAGTAAATTTTAACTACTGATTTTACAAAGGTGGAGATCTTGAAGACATGGGAAAATCACTGACGTTTGTCATTTACAATTTGTGAAATAAAAAACTGCAAAATTTGAGACCCTTATTTTTCTGTCACGGGCTGCCCACCTCACTGTCACTGGTTGTCAGGTTCTCTCTCAAACTAGATTGTTAAACTACAGATATACTACTGATATGCAAATGTTTTCCTAACTTGAGTTGTAAATAATTGGATATAGTCTGATAAAAACTAAGGTCTGATCAAAGAACTTTAGGCAAAGGTCTGCTGCAAAACAACTAAAAAAACCTGAAAAACTTCCTCACACTTATAAATAAACTGATTTGCCTACTTTCTTTCAAAAACTACCACTTTCTTTGGCTTTTCAATGGAGGTAAAAAAAGATCTGCTTCATCATCACTTTGGTGGTGTATCCCCATCTGAAAATTCTAAATTGTAAAATATTGAAAGAAAATGCTTTAACATTCAGTTGATAGACACCTGGATGTAACCTACTACTCTGTGAAAGATTATTCATAACTTCCTGTTCCTTTATTGGGTTTCATATGGAAATATTTGCTTTGGTCCTTTTTTAATAACAAGTCACCTACTGCATTCTCTATTAATCAAACAGTATTACCTGTTTCCCCGTCATGCATGTATTATCAGTATTTTAAAGAGGGAGGAAAAACCTGAATGCAACTGAGGTTCCTTAGTAAGTCTGTTTTTTTAACTGTGGTCCAGCAAAAGGATTTTCTAGAAAAAGAGAATGAAAGGAAATAAATGCAGAAGAAATGAAGCTCAGATTATCAGATTTTAAATCAAAATAGAACTAATACCATTGCACAGCAAGGGACAAGAGCTTCTCTTAAACAGCATTTGTGAAGCAAAATCACTTTGATAATCCCCAGTATGAAAATTTACTGGTTCTATTATTAGCAATGGAAGTAACCTCAGAGTTTAACACCTGTCCCATACTGGGTTTGGCAAAATTCAGAATGCTACAAATCTATCATAGTTCCTCCAACAGCGAAGTTCAAGTGCTACTGTTCAATTGTAATTTATTAGTGGAATAATGATTCTTAGAGTCACTAATGACTATTAAACTATTTATTTTTAAAAATACATGAAAGAAGTGCTATTATACAAAATATTTCCACCTACTTTTCGAAACCTTTAGAAAATATAAAATCTCTTTTAGGTCAGAAAGGAAATTTAAAAGAGATATTTGAAGAAAAAAACATTATAATCTACTTTCAAAGAATGCAGTAAATTTTGATCATGCAACTTGAAAGTTGCATGTTCTACTGTGCAAATAAATTCTCCATCTATTTCCCATTTTCTTTAAAAAGCATCTAACATGGTCCCTGAATTGTGAATGAGAGTGATGCTAAATGATTAAATTGGAAATACAATGGGACACCAGCCATTTCCTAAGCACTGTGTAATAGATGAAAAGCTCTAAAAATTTAACTCCATGCAGCCAACCATAGAATTAATCAATATTCAGTTTTTAAGGATTATAAAAATAGTTCTACACCATCCAGAATAAAAAAATTACAAGCAGAAGACAGATTACAATAGCCCATATAATTTAAGTCAAGTCACTCTATCAATAGTGAATCATAACTAGTTGCATCTGGTTTCAGTTTTTAAATTTGAAGAAAAATCTTTCAAGTGTCCAATTTTGTTTGGTGTTCAAGAGAGGTTAAGCTAAAGAAAATCCACAGTGAATATCACAAGAAAAGGATCCAAGGGAAAGGTCTGACCTCTCCATTCTGATTTAAGTTTGATGATGCACTATACATGATGAGGGTACCATTATCTCACAAGCCATCAGCAGGTAATTCATGAAGAGGTCAAAGAAAGGAAAAGGCCATAAGATCATGCATAATTTAGCAATTTCATCAATAAAAAATTCTTCAGATAATAAAAAAGAGCACTGAAAGAGGCATGCGAAAAAGGAGAAAGGGAACAAAAATACCACCAACACCATCCCACAAGCAAACTTTGACTCTGTGTGCATACAGAAAACTAGCTTAATTCCCCAATATGCATCAACAACCATGACTATCACGCAAGGAAATACAGACACACGTATATTTATACTTTGTACATTACATTTAATCTACTTGGGCTGGTGATGATATCCAAAAATAAATAAGGTAAATAAATAAGAAAAAAGAACAAGGGAATAAGCAGTAAATAATTATTCAGTGACCTTGGACTTCAAAAACTTAGCTTTAGTAACATGACAGTTAACATTAAAGGCACAAAAGCAAAACCTCTGAAGAGTAAAACTCTTTACAGAAACATGTAGCTACAATGGTCTAATCAGGCACAACACAGTTATTCTGATTCTTGACTTCTGTAATAGTCACAAAGAATTTCTTCCTAATATGTGTTGCAGTCTACTAGAGTTTATTTGTATTGTAGTGTATACTTCTAACAGCTATTACTATTTCAAATTACTGGAGAACAGAAAAGCAAAAAAATTTTTATCATCCCATGGTCGCATATTTTAATCTCATTTTAAGAAAACCCGTCATTCCAAATAGATTTCTAGTAAGTAATGCTCATAAGTATAATGCTAGAAAGAAATATTAATATGCAACATGCTACAATGTCTAGAAGTATTTTAATGTATTGCTTATATCTATAAACATTCATTTTAAAACAGACACTAATAATGAATAAACAAAAATTAAATACAGAAATTTTTTAACTTGCTTTAACTTTCATGTATGTTAACTATGATGCATCTATTCCAGTCAACCTTATGACCACAAATTTTGCAAGTGCAAAGTCTCATCTCAAAGATATTAAACAAGATAAGAGGGTAGTCAAGGAGAGCACAGATGGAGTCAAATGCTTTACTAAGTTAACTACTCCTATCTGATATACTCTGAATTTCCTTTCCACCGTACTTTTTTTTTAAGCTAAATAAAAAAAAAAAATTAAAAGCATGCAAGCATGTGATATTACAAATGCAAAAAAATTAAGATACCAGAACAAAGCTAAAATTCCAGTCACTGTCTATCCTATTGGCTAAATATACATGGTATAGATATGCAAGAACTGATATTTTTACAGAAACAGCATATAGCAATGTGTTAGGTACTCAGAGAAAATAAAATACAATTCTTTGAGACAAAGCAATGGCAACATTTTTCACTTTCATCTCAATAGCACTTATAAAAGAAACCACGTAACTCTAGGAGTTATGAAGTTAAATGGGCCAATATAGCTCTTTAATGCTATTTTTATATAAAATAGATTATTTAATTTTGATTTTATTCTGGATTATTCGTTACTATCTAGGGATTATTTCACATACAGAACATTAGGTAATTGTGGCCACATATCAGCATGTGTTATGTCTATTGTTTTGTGAAAGTCCCTCTCACCTTTTCCTTTTGCCCTTTTTTCAAGAGGAAAAATGATAGCATTTTACGCCTAAGCGTAATTGAAAGTACACACACAATTTCTGTACCACTGGGATTATGCACTGAAGTGCCATTTGTGCATTTAGGAATCCTTCCAGTGTCCAAAACCAAGGCTGCTCCCATGCTGAATAAGTCTTTAACATTCCTTCTTCTTCTCTTTTCTGAGACAAAGACATCTGTTTTGCTTCATCCTTTCTCTATCCTCACCATACTATGCCAGAATTGGGGGTTTCATTTAGTACATGGGTAGGGCTCGACAACTTTTAAATTTTGGTCACATTTCCATCTCCACGTTTAGTTGGGAGCCTGTTCTTAAGACCATTCCTACAGCTTAGAACACAAAATTATGATCTACTATTTATGCATTTTTACCTTCCTCTTCAAGATGGCAAAGTGTAATATATTTAAGTGGAAGAAAATAACATCAACTTTTTAATCACAAACTGAATCATATCCTTCTCAAATTTCAGTCCTCGGAGTAGTTCTCACACACTGCAACAGACAGACCTCCCACAACGATTTTCCCCTACCATGTGAGTGATACAGAATAGAAAATCTTATGAAAAGGTATAGATGGAAGATCAGGAAGAAAGTCACAAAATTTTGGTAGCCATCTTAGAATTTTTATTTCCCAGATGGTCCAGGTGACATATAATTAGCATCACTTTTAGCGTTTATATTTGGGGGACAAGGGGGAATGTAGTCTCTTTTATACTTCTATAACCAATATTGTTGAGGTCTTCTGCCTATAAATTCCTCTTCTCTGTCCATCATTTTGCACACAACACAGTCAATTATGTATTGACACTAACAAATAAGGAATAATCAATGATTAATAAAAATTAAACATCTTATTTCTTTCTTAAACAACTTTTGTGAGTTTTGCAAAATCAATCTAATTATATTATTTAGGAGAATGAAATGTGTGTAGAACATATAAAAATGAAACATTATAAATTTGTCTTGTATGTTGGACGTTTTAATTATGGGTCTGAGAAATCTGTAAATAGAACCCAAGCAGTATGAGAACTGGTATCTTTTCAAATGGAATCAACCTGTTCTTGAATGCTGATTGCTTGTTTGTAGTCTTCTACAGCCTCTTTATTGAAACCCAATTTACCACGAATATCAGCTCTAAATTTATACATCAAGGCATCATTAGGCTGAAGTGACAATGCTGTAAAAATAAGGAATAGAATGTTAGGCTTTTTTTTTTTTTAACATTATCACAGAATTATAAAGAAAAGCATCATCCAAAAACTTTTGTCAGTGCTCAAATTCTTCTGCAGACATACTTTCACAAGAGAAAACATATTACACACATTAACTTTACATCAAAAGGTAGGATTTTTTTTTCCTTTTTGATGCCATTTATGAATCCCACTTTCATTTTGCCCTGACAGCAGAAACTATGCTTTCCTCTGAAACGCAAAGTCTTAGAGAAGAAAACTACCACCATCCAACTTCTGGAACATGGCATGAACCCAGTATCTTACTCAGTTTCTCTATTGTGGAAATAGGATTTAGATACTTGTTGGAAAGCTTAATCTATGGTTTGAAAATTCATCTTTAGAGAAAAAGTTTTTTTTAAAACAGTCATCTCCCTGGTCTAGTCAATTTTCACCATCTACCACTATGAAAACATTAGTCACGAAAGTCACGAAGTAAAAACATTATTTTGACAAATTCCACTTTAAAAACAAACTAATTTCTAGGGAAAAAAAAAAAAACCAAACCAAAGCCAAAAAACTCTGAAGAGAGTTATCCTTCCAGGAAAGATCATAACCTGTGCAACAAAGCGTTGTCAAATCAAAGTCATATTACTAAATTTTGTTTCACTAACATTAATACAAACTAAATATAGCTTTAGCTACTGGAGGAAGTGTGCCTGTGTATCCAGAGCTGCTGAATCTCACATTAGTAGCAATGACAAAGCAGCAATGGAGTAATATAGCTCAACTGGTTTGAACCTGAACAAAAGGTTTGGGTTTTATGAAGATCAAGATGAAAATTTGACTCGGTTCTTCTTCTCTATGAACCATGTCTATTCCCAAAAGAAAAGTTTATGGAATCCAAATACTGTTTCAAAACTTGTTCTACAAACAGCATGTTCATTGAATTTTATTTTTATTTATAAAATAAGCTACCTGAATGCCATTTTCTAGGCACCTAGATATCTCCACACATACACACAAAACTCACAAAATTTTTTCAGGCTTGGTAAGTGTAGTATATTCCCATAACTTCTTGCCACAATTTCATTTAGGGCTCTGTTCAGCTGATAATGACACATATTATATGAAAGCTTATCTTCTAATTTACATATTCTTTCAATTTTGAAAATGGGAAAACCCCCAACAATTAATTAGCATGGTTACTTTAACTTCCTCTTTTTAATCACATTGTAATATCTGATCAAATTAGGTAGCAAATATACTAGCAAAAATACACATACACTTTCTGAATCATTAAAGAAAGTAAATTTGTTATCATAATTGTTAGTATACTACCAAACAGAATCATGTAAATAAATATTACCTGTTGAAATGTCTTTCTCAGCTAGTTCATATTGCTTCAATTTGTTATAGAAATTTGCCCTGTTAAAATACACTGCTGCAGAGGATGGGCAGAGACAAATTGCCTTCTCAAAGTCTTCTTTAGCTTCTTCAATATTGTTTAGTAACGTATTTGTAATGGCCCGATTCAAAACAGCAGATTCATTTCCTGGGTCAAGTTCTAATACCTTGGAATAGTAGCAATAGGCCTAGAAAACACATGAATTAGAGACAAAGTACACGCTAGAATTTAAGGAAATGGCTTATGTACAACTTGTAAATTCCAGCTTGTTTCTTTAAGCCGTTAGTATTCTTAAGTCTTTACTCGTTCTGTTTAGCATTCTTTGTACTCAGAAAAGAGACAGCACCACCATGCTTATCTACAAACAGGTCGATCACCACCCAAGCAAACTTTTGAAAAATAACAGCTGTTTATGTTAAATTGTAATTATAGCAGAAGAAATAAGCTACACACTAAGGCCAATTTAAATTAACATAGAAAATAGTTTATAATGCAACACCTACTCTTGAACTTCTTCATTATTAGACAGCCTCTGTGACACAGTAAGGAGTCACAGAAACACAGTAACGAGGAATAACAGCCTATGCAAGACCAGTCATGGAATAGTGACACCAGACACATAAGAAAAGAGATTACATGATCACAGAAGAAGCCATATGCAGGGCACTGACCTTGGACTCCTAAGGAATTTCTGATCCAAGTCTAACTTATGCCCAAGAACAGCAAGGAATCTAACTCAGAGAAACATACAACATAAAAATTTGTTTCTTTTTTTTTTTTTTTCCCCTATTTCTTGTGCTGTATGAAGTACAATCTAGGCTAAAAATTTTATGCCAAGCCTGTACTATACCTGATGAATTCCTTAATAAGTGAACTGCAAGCTGAAGTGTTTACAGAGGCAACTCTAGGAGAGAATTAATTCAAGTAGATGAAATGTGCTCAAGAATCCATGCTGGTTCTGGGTTTTCACAGCTGCTGGACCACAAAGCTCCAATCAAATAAAAGCCTAAGCCTATGTCCAGGAACAGTGACTGGAAGACCAAATGAAAAAATCATTGCAGGGGCCTCCTCCCACAAAGAAAAATGAATTGTCCTTGCCTTCAAACAGATTTCAAATTCTCTCACAAGAGGAGTTTCATCATCCAACTCTTCTGTATTTCAAGATGCCCACTGTTTTTAAGCAGAATTAGGTAATTTAAAACTCCAAAGTTACTGTGGTAACAGGAGAAAGATCTGACTTCCTGATTAAAGTTCATCAGCATGATACTTTCTTCATTCTCCTTGACATGATGCTATAGTGACTTAACGTATGGGAGCTAGGCTGGGGAGGGATGTTACTGAACGTTAGTGGGATTTTGATATCTCAATTATTAAAAATTTTTTGTGATGTGTATCCTAGCTGTTAGTTCATTCGTATCAATGATAAAATACACAGCAGTAGGGAAATTATTTATTATTAATTACTAGAGATTAATTCCTCTCCTGGTAGAGGACAATGAAATTCAATGGAAGAAAGCTTCATGCTAATGAAGTATTTATTCAAGGAAAAAAGTTCTGAAGACAGTATAAAGACAGACTGCAGACTTACCTGTGAAAACTGTCGATTATGGAAATAGATATTTGCTGCATTGAAATAGGCTAATGTATAGTTTGGGTCAACAGAAATTGCTTGTTGATAGTCTTTCATGGCACAGGGTAGATATCCCATTAACTGATTAATGACACCCCGATTTGTTAGCAGTGGAGCAGTGGTAGCGAGCTGAAAGGAAAATGTAGACACACTCTTACTCAGGGAAAAGTTACACTTCTACAGTAATTTATTCTGGTTTTCAAAGATACTTTTACTTTTAAAAAAATTTTAATTGGATTACCAAACTGACAACTACTAATATACAGTATTGATTGGCTTCACAGCAACAGGTTGATTTTAGTAAAATCATTTTAAGCTAACATCTACCTTTAGTGCAGCATTTATATCTTGAAATGCGGCAAAACTTTTACCCGCTTCAAGACAGACTGAAGCTCGTCCATCATATGCAGCATGGCATTTTGGATCAATGCAAATGGCAACTGTAAATTGGCTCCATGCTCTCTGAAGCTTTCCAAGGGCCTAAAATAAATTGCAGTATGTCCACACTAAGATAAGAAATGCCAAACATACTAATGATCTCACTTTAAAAATTACAGGAGAGAATGGAAGCATGCTTATATTTACAAACACAGTTAATTAAATTACAGAAAAAAAAATGAATTCAAGTATCTTGTTAATCCTCAAATATCTCGTTAATTATGCAATACTCATTGTCTTTGCAAATATGCAGTTTAGCAGTTTCACTAACAGTATAGTTTGGATAATTTGGATTTTGTTTTACACAGATTTGCCAATACTTTGGCTCCTTTTTACTTCAGTAAACTGCTCATACACACAAAACATGCCAGTTCTTAATGTTAGCTAATCAGAGAACCATATATGCAAATCAAACTAGCATAAGGTTACTTGATATCCATTATTCAAGAGCAGAACTCCAACATGATTGAGTACAATAGCAGAAAGAAAATCCATTTACTTTAAAAGAAGGAAGATGCCATAAAGCTTCTCTAAAGTACATGCATTATTTTATGTTTATTGTGGTTACTTTATGCATTACATAAAGGTATGCATGTAAGATTGATGGTATTTTGTTTGATTGAACATAGCACTGACAATGAATTTTGGTGTTACCTGCAAATTGTATCCTAAGCAAATTCTGGCATCTATACACGTTGGATTCAGATGAATTGCTCTCAGGAAGTCTTTCTGTGCTTTTTTATAACCAGTCTCATGTCCATTTTCCATGTATGAGTTTCCTCGTCCAACATAGGCATCCACAGAAACAGGATCTAGTTTGAGAACCTGGTCAAATGATCTCACAGCTTCTTCACACTCATGAAGTCTAAAAATAGATATATCAATGTTTGCTGTTTAAAAATTCTATTAAAAAAAAAATCTCAGTTTATGAACAATCAGCAAATACTACCCCATAATGCCCACTAAAAGTAGTTATTCTGATTAAAAGGGACACTTTTTTTTTCCTTAAGTTTGCTTTCTATATGTGCACCCTAATGGTCATAACAGTGAAGGTAGTCAGTGTAACGCCTTGCAGACTTCAATTGGAATTCCTTGGCCTGAGATTTACTTTTGCTGGGACAAGATTTCAACAGCTGTACTCAACATAGAGACTTTGTCCAAGTCACTCGTGATGTCCAAATGTCATGACCAAACATGTTTTTGGTAGTGTGTTTAGGCACAGATGTGTCAGCCATAAATAATTTACTTCTCATATAAGCCTTCTCTCTGTTTTTTCTCATACCAATTCTTGAACTTATCCAAACTATGCTAAACTTGAAGAGTAAAAAGAGGTAATATTTAGGGTTCTAAGCATAGATCATTCTGATCTAAGAGTAAGCCAACTTAGATAAAACTTGATGCATCTGAAATATACTGAATATAAATAAAAAGGATTAAATACCTGAAATGTCAATGAATGCTAGTAAGTACCTTTACACATAAAGCACAAACTTTAACAAGTACAAAATCAATTTATCAAGATGATATGGAAAGATAACATATTGTGGCTACCTGTGGCTACCTGAAGTACAGTCTGACTTCTTTACCAAAAAAGGAAAGATTAAATATATTTAGCTAACAATAACTTTAAGGGATGTAAACCAAATGCTTTTTAAAAGCACAACACTTGTTACAAAAACAAATCAGGGCTTCGTTCCAACCCTGTTGATAGGCAGTCATGAAGTTAGAGACTGCAGGATGGATCCCAAATGCATCTTAAAATGGGTTATACAGCCAAGTTATATAGTCACTCTTTATGACAGGTGATATTTGTGTGAAATAAGAACCATCAACTCCAAGTGCCACTATGATAAATAGGCTAAGATACTAATGAATATCTTATTTGTTCCAGTTTATATTTTTTTTAAGTGATTAACAGATTTAGTCTAAATAAATCTTACCTTGGCAAAACTACCTTTTAAAATTTCCAAATAAAAAAAATCAGGTGAGGAAGACCAGTGAGGTTTTTGTTTTTCTTTAAAGGACAAAGTGCATATTTAAACAGAAATTGCATTCTAATTCTGAACAAACCAACTCAACTCTGCTTATTTTTCTTTTTTTTTTCTTTGTTCTTCAGTCCTTCTCTTGGTTCTATTTTATCACCCTAATATTTCCTTCTGAAACTGTCATGAACATAGTTGCTTGATACCAGAAGATTCTAATATCAGTTATTAAACTTGAAAAATATCTAATTTTCTTTTTCTGTTCCTCTTTTTCATTTTCCCTCAGTTCTCAGTTTACTCAATATGTAAAGGTGAACAGAAATAAGGGTCAGAAATTATTTCATTTTCTACTCTCTGTCAAACAAAATTACATATCTTACCTATGATAGCAGATTCCAATAGCTTGAAAGACCTGACTATCATCTGGACTAAGCAATGTTGCTTCTTTAAAGTCCTGAAAAGAACAGACACAGAAACACATACTATTTTCTTACATTTAAGAAAACTATCTTGAGGTCGGACCCTTTCAGCATTTCAACAAAAATAATAATTAACACACACGTGTGTACACACAGAGGAACTAAACAAGCTCACTCAATCAGAACCTCCATTTACTTGGGCTTCTGCAATAAATTAGTACTTATTTGGACTCAACATAAATTACTTCAAGATTAAAAAAGCAGGAAAAAGCAGGATCTTGCTTATTAAATTTCGTGCAACTCCTGTGTACAGTTCTAGCAGGATAAAACTGTTAAACAAGCAAAACAGCATTTTACTTGCATTTTCACAGCCAGACTGGTAGTAGGTATTGAGCAAATGAGTACTGGGCACAAACTATTTCAGAAGAATATGAAAACTGTCAAGCTGGTCTTTATGTCAACAATGGCTTACAGATAACAGAAAACTCCAAATTTCCTTTACTCAGAGAAGGACTTTGTACCTCACATGCATTAGCATGATCACCAAGCTCCATGAAGACTAGTCCACGATTAATTAACACTTTATAAGCTATTTCGTCACTTAATTCAAGCAGAAGAAGAATTCCATAGTCTTTCAAAGCCTACAAAAGACACATAAACATAAATGTATTTAAACATAAAATGTATTTTAAAATAACATAATTAAAAAACCTAAAATGTATTTTAAATCATAATTTATTCAGAGGGATACAATGATACTCCAAAATTTAAAAGACACGCTTTCAAATTCCTACAAATCATATGCATATGCACAGACTTCAGTGTGGCTATTCCGATACTTTACTGTTTCTAGATAGAATGTAACTTCATTTAGAACCTTTCAATAGTCATACAGATACCCATTCCTAGAGTACAGAAGCAAAGACAATGCAAATATATTCAACAGATATAACTAAAATTTATTTTGTCATTATATAAATTTCAGAGTTAGAAATAAATCTTAATTACTTCTATTGCTAGATTTTATGTCTAAATTCTTACTAAAAAAACCAACAAATTATTCTAGCTTCAATTCTCAAATTTATCAAAACTTAGCAGTATTTCAACAATGCTTGATCTGAAGAACTTCTAGCCGAACTATATTTTTCACCTGAAGAATGAACTTATATAGTATACTTAAGAATAGCTAGACAGTTTAGACCTAATAGGACAAAATGCCAAAATCTTTTACTTTAAGTTACTGTAATCATCTACTTTTCTTCATCATTCTTGGACAATTAACCTCTAAGCACAAATGGCCCTTGCCCAAGGTCAATTTGACTTGAGACACCTGAGCACAAATACTTATGAACTAGCCCTGTCCCAGAAAATCAGCCTCATCAAAAAGACAGTTCAACATGATTGGGCTCCCAGTCTGAAGCCACATGGTGCATTTGTATGCCCTGTTGTGCCTTTGCATTATAACAAAGCAGAAGGCAGAAACACTTAGAGGTAGCTCACAGGCAAGTTGACAGAAGTATAAACACATCCAGAAAAACAGAGTGGTGAACGAGGGTTGGATGTAGTCCAAATTCTTGTTTTGATGTAGTTGTCTTCTGGATCTTATCGTTCTCATATTTTTTCTTTTATTTACTTACAGTTCTTATGTTTTTAAATGGATATCAAATGTAATTAATATGATAGTAGAGACCAAAAGGCTATTTCTAAAACAATTTCCTGAAGAGCACAATCATTCACAAAGACATTGCAAGAGGTTAGAAATTTTGACTAATTGTGAAAAACAGGTTACTAGCTAATATGAAGCGAGTGCTTATGTGATGTCAAAAAAAAAAAACCCAATACCTTTCTGAAGTCCTTTATTTGATGATAACAGACAGCTCTGTTATAATATGCCAAAATGCTGGTTTTGTCGAGGTCAATAGTTTTTGAGAAATCTTCAATTGCAGCTTTAAATGTCTGCAAATGAAAAAATGCTATGTATAAATTGTAATTCAGAGTTCATGCCGCTACATGGTTTTCCTCATACAATAGCCTATTGTAAAATTTTATTTCATAGTTTTACATTTTGATTCTTCATCAGTACTGGACGGCATCCAACCATTTCATTATGTCCCCTGTGGACTATGTACTGCAGTTGGAGCACTCCTTCAGAAGTTCTATTTATACAAAGGCTGGGCTAACAAACATTCCTTGTATTTTCTTACATCACATCCTTATACCGCAATACATAATCAGCACTTAATTTTACTATCTTGCACTTTATACCTTAACCTAATATAGAAGGTATATTCCATGGAGTTTTGTTACTTCTGTCAATCACTAGGTAAAAATATATTCTGTAGAATTTAAAAGAATAATCAGAGAGATGCTCAGTAGCTTCTCCAACTCATCAATCATTTTCAGATACATAAGACAACCTGAGAATAGCTTCAACAGGGAAAATGGAAAGTATAATAATCAAGCGGACTTCCTGGTTTTCACAAGCAACTCTTTTACTGTTATTTCAACATTCTAAAGTGTCAAGTAAGATACATTATGTTTTAAGGGAGAATGCAAGAGTACAACAATAAAGATAGTCCCACCTTATTTTGATACTTTAAAGTTCCTCGGTAAAAATAAGCTTGTACACTATTAGGAAGAATTTTGATTGCCTCATTGCAATTCAGAATTGCCTTAGAATATCTACCTTTACTTCCATAGTAAGCAGCACGACTCATATATGCCTGTAGAAATTAAGACAGAGTGATGACATGATTAAAAAACCAGCTTTGTTTAACATTATTAACAAGGGTTAAATAGAAGACAGAATTTACAACGTTATAAAAACATACATCTTACAAATCTTGTCATATCTTTCCTTTAATGCTTGCCATGTGCATGCTGGCAGATTACAAGGCAGTACACCCATAAATGCAAAAACTGTCAGTCTTCGAACCCATCCAAAAATGCCTCACAGAAACAAACCATCAGGAGTCTTTATATTACCTGGAAATGTGATGGACAAAGGACAAGTGCTTGATTGAAATCTTGGATGCACTTATCTTGTCTGAGTTGCATTCTACACAGCCCCCGCTGATAAAAAGCATCAGGGTAACTTGAATGTAGTCTGATAGCCATACTAAAAGCATGATGGGCCTAAAAGGATGATATATCATTTGGGTTAAATATAGCCTGTTCACCTGAAACCATAGGCTAAAACTGTTTCTTTTGTACAGCTAGGCATGACCTGTTTCTTGCAGTTGGAACCCACCATGTACCTGCACTGTTTTTTATGGCTTCCATCCATTTACTGCTACTTAAAATTTTGTAATGTTTAACACCCTACTTAATACAATCATAATCTCAAGGAAGCATAATCTAACTCATTTAATAATCTCCTTTCTTCAGGGAGACTGCAAAAGTTTAACCAAGCACTTGGTCTTCTCTCCACAAGGGCTGAAATAGTGAAGCTGTTTATTATAATGAATGATGGATTAACATGGCTAGCATGCAACTCCTTTAAAATCCATCCAGACAGTTTTTTCCTCTACATTGTACACTAGCTTACTAAATCCCAGGCTTTTCTGGGATCTACAGCTGTAATATCAGATGTACATTGACACACAAAGTCACCTTTTGCAATTGTCATGTATTGCCACATTTAATATTTCAGGCAATTTTGACAGTCTTCTTCCAAAAGAATATCGCTTATGACAAATGGCCAGGGAACCAGGTAGAGAATTTGGGAGTAAAGTTAAGGGAAGAAGGGAGGGTTGTGGAGGAAGGTGTTTTAAGATTAGTTTTTATTTTCTCAATACCCTACTCTAATTTGATTTGCAATAAATTAAATCAATTTTCCCCAAGTCTATTTTGCCCATGATTGTAATTGCTGAGTGATCTCTCTGTCCTTATCTTAACCCACGAGCCTTTCATTACATTTTCTCTCCCCTGTCCAGCTGAGGAGGGGAGTGAAAGCTGCTTTGGTGCACACCTGGTTTCCAGCCAGGGTCAACCCATCACAGAAGCAGACAAGGCAAGAAATTTTTCTCTTCCCCATGAAATTCTGATATTTCAAATGTTTCTAGTTTCTGCCTTGAGCCTTTCAGCAAATCAACAACTGAAACACATTTACTAAAATATCATATCATTAACATAGAAAACATTTGCATGAACTCACACTAGGCCTGCCACAAATCTCACCACTAGGCTTTCAATAGTTTCAACAAAGAAGTCTCTAGCATAGTTAAAAGTATTGATTTTGTTGAAAAAAGGGAAATATATTTTTCTTAGGTAATGCAGTTTATTTCTTAAGTATCATATGTAGGCGCCAAAGAGAACCAACTACAGGTGTTATGAGCTATAGTAACACAGAAAACAATTAACAAATTACAACCAACTCCATAATACAATAATTTAGGAATTCCTTTGTCCAAGTTTACTACCAATTCACTAAGCCATTGATACTTCTACATGAGTGTTGTTTGTCTATAAGACCTGTGAAGACATTGATAAACAGATAAGAGATTAATGTAGTTATATGGCAATTAATGACATACGTTAAAGAAAATTATAACATTAACACCGGAAAAATTACTCACAAACTTGTAAGACAGTCTAATGTACATCATGAACTCAAAAGAAAATTGCTAAAGGCAGTGGAGGCTGTTTAAAATACTGAAATCAGTCAGTTATCATAGTTGTGTACAAGCAGTGGAGTAAAATGCTAATATATTCTATATAATTAATACCAACCCGCAATAAATTCTTTTGCTCCAAGTGACACAGGCCTGTGAGATAATATATTTCTGCAGCCTCAAATGTATTAGGCAGGATTTTTGTTGAGGTCATCAGGAGTTTCACAGCTTTTTTAAAACTTCTCACAGCATCCTGCAATACAGACAATATTAATAGTTGAAAAGCACTTAACTGCAAATTTCTTAGATCTTTTAAATTATTTTTCAGTGTTTTTTTCTTGGTCTTTAGAAGAATATGGTAAAAATTACTAGCCTATTGTTTCTTGGTGTCATTGGAGTTAGACATACTCTTGATCTCTGAATGGTTCATATCAATAAATGGTCAGAAAATCAGAGAAATATTCCTGAGTTTTATTTATATATCATGAAGTAGCTAACATACATGATTTAGAAAAACATACAGTTCTGTATTTTACTGTTATTAGGTAAGAAGAAAAGGTATACCTTTTGATGGAGTCTGATGATAATTAAGTACTTGCTACAGGTTTTTTTGTGCAAATAATGACAAACTATCTGTTCTATAGACAACTTACATAAATTTAATAGCCGTTAAGAAATATATTGAAAGGATCAATTCTGTATAGGCATTGAAGGAATGTAGGTGAACAACCTCTCAGAATCTTACCGTGTCTCATAGGTCTGGACAATAATTTATGCACATTTAATAAGAATTTTGTTTAAAGGAGTGTGGAAGGAAACCGACCAAAAAATTAAGAACTCAAGACAAGTGATTCCTCAGCCTTTGGGGATTATGAAGGGACCACAGCTGAAAGTTTCAATATCAAGAACACTAAAAGAATTATAGCTTTTTTCTTTTTTTTTTTTAAAGTGAGTCTTTCAAGATAAACGGTGTTTGTTTAGAAAAATCAATTTGAAATACTAGTGACCCATAGGACTGTCTGCAAATACTACACCGGTCTCAGTAAGCTGTCACAGTAGTAGAAGTTTTAAAAATATTTGCTATTTAAAAATAATTTTTCTCTATTCCTGCAGTTCAAAATTACTCTTATTTTAAGAGGAAAAAGAACTGTAGATACCTGAACTGGCTCACATAGAATTCTAAAGGCACGGCTGATTCTCAGGGCACTATAGCCTGAAGTCTAACCATTTTCCCATATTGAGGGTATTATGTCATCCCTCTCCAGGACAGTCGGCAGTGCAAGTCCTCACCTCTGGCTGAAGCACTCTGCGAAATCAGGGAATGACTCTAATATACATCCTCTTAACCATGACAACTGAAATTCATGTAATTGGAGGGTACTAATGATCACTGTCTTTGACTTAGCATTCTTTCAAAGACAGCAGAACATGCAATGTCCCATTATGGTTTGAGACAAATAAAACACCCAAGCCTAACAAAAAAACCTGAATGGATCATGAGGCAGCCGGAGTAGAATTTTTGCAAAGTGCATGCCTTTTCATTTAAAAAGAAGCTGCAAAGACAAGGATAAGAGGAAACAGAAAAACTGTGCATTTCAGACATATAACTTAATAGATAGGTAGATCTGAGGTCTTATGAACCTACCTGTTGCTTGCTACTATTGTGTTTAGGGAAAGAGGACTCTCTACATTTTGTATAAACAAATAGGATTGTAGAAAAAGAAACAGCTAATCCACACAGCCAATTTCAACAATTCTGCAGGACTAAAATATTGGCTAACTGCAGGACTCAGAGGAGTGACAATATTGGTTAAACCCTATGACATATTCACACAGTTGAGAAAATACCTGTAACTACACATTGTATTTTCAGTTGATATACATGAATTAAACTTCTGTACCGAATTTTATTAGACAAAAAAATGCTAGACATACTTTATTTGATTTCAAAAGAAGCAATATTATGACACATAATGGACCTCAATCTATTTAATTGTATCTTTTAACTAATCATCTTAAATGTCTTAAAACTAAAATTGCCTAGTTTATGCAGAAATTTCAACAGCAGCACTGAAAGTTCATTCTCAGGTCTTCTTATATTTAAAGAATCAGGTACTCTGAAGGTTCACTTATATACTAGCACATTTCATAAAATATTAAAAGGATATAGAAAGAAAAACATTGTCTTGTTTGGCATATATATAATGTAAACTTTTCTAACCTTAGTTTTCTTGGCTTTCATTTGTATTTTTCCTAAAATAACAAACACTGAAGGCTCAGGCTGAATTGCAGTAGCTTCACGTAAGCACTCTATAGCCTTATCGTGATTTTGACAAAATGACTGAACGAGGGCTCGCTGAACAGGCTGAGACATAAAGGATTCTGGAAGGAAAACACCATGAAAAAGAAAAATCTCTTTAACCTACATGTTTTCCAATGTAAAATACCCCTAAATTATATGCAAACTTTAAAATGTTATTAAAATATTTGGAGGATCAAAGCTTGTTTTAAGATCTGCAAAAATACAGATGTAAACTAAGGTCCTACAAAAGTCTGAACAGTTATTTATCAGTGAGTGTAGTTTGAATGCTAAACATCCACAAATATTTACCTTCCTCTCCCCACACGTAAGAAGGCTTTGCTCTGCGGAAGTATCACCATATGCCTGCTTTGTTTTTATATTGTGCCCTGTGTACCCACACTTGGTCACTACTAGAGACAGGAAATTATTCTCATACAGTGTGGCTATTCATATGGATTCACCGAGAGCGTCAGGACTGCCATTTTATGCCCGGCACATAACAAGGAACTACTATACTGCAACGGTTTTACTGTTCAAACACGTTGGGAAGGTTCAGTTCTAAAGCTGCTTGATATTTTGTTAGGAAAGACTGTACATAAGGACAGAACAGAATCCTTAGTCAATATTCTCTTAAAGCAGAAATTACCAATACTGAAAGGCAGAATTAAAAAGCAAGGACTCAAAAGATACAGAAATTCTGAAATCACAGGTCATAGTACAGGCAACAGTGTACACCATTATTACATCTAAAGGCTTCAGACGTGCAAACAAAATACTCTACATCGCAAGTTCCTATATTTTAGCTGATTCGTTGTAACTAACTTATTTGCATCATTGAACTTAATTTTTTGAATAATTCCTTGGTTACAGACTGTTGCCATGGTTCACAACTATCTAGGAAAACTGGTGGAAATTGACATTACCTTCATCCATTTCTGCAAGTTGATTAATACATAAATTTGCCAGCTCGTATTTCTTCAACTCCATTAAATACTGTCCCCTGTAATGATGTAATTATAAAACTATTTCCAGTCATTTCTTTCAAAGGGCAAATACTACTGAAATACGGGCTTATTAGTATAAAAAGAGAAAAGGGAAAAATAATGACTTCCAATAAAAACATCCACAATTTTTACTTTTTTTTTTCATCAGAAATATGTGTTGAATTTCTAATTTTTTTCTCTCACATGACAGTAACAAGAAATTATATGCTTACCTCTCTTCACACCATAGGAGTCACAAAAATACATTTTCTTTGGATTCCACAGATAGTAAACCTTACAATCTCAAGAATTGCAACAATTATCTTAGTAATAGCATTTCTAAAATCCACCACAGTGATAGCTGACAGATACATTCTGTTGTCAGGGACGGTATTTTGCTTCTATCAGGTATCAGCATCAGTGTAAGAGGCCATACTAGTCTAACCAAACTCTGAGAGACAAGCTGAGCAAACCCACTCCTAAAACTGGGAAAATACAGTATTATTGACTGGAACATAGCCACTAATTCTCCTAATACACCTGAGGAAAAATATCCTAGCATTTCCTCACTAGTCCTTATGGCTTTTCAGGGGAAGAAACAGCTTTATCTAGTAATTTATTGTTTAGTCTTGGCAAAAGTCACTACTTCTCACTGGGCTGAATATGGGGAAGAATAATAGTTGAAATCTAATTGGCCTGCACTCAATCCTTCACATTCTTTGCATTATGTGGATTCTGCAGACAAATCAGTGAAGGACCCATCCACTTGGGGACAATATTTAAAATTATCAATTTTTTTAAAGTTCAGACTTGCCTTTTTGTCATGGCACCTATTTACTTCTTTTTCCCCAGAAAATATATGCACCTCAAAGAGCAGAATCCTGTATATGAAACAAGGTTCTTCCCTACAAGGTAACTACAATAGTTGGGTGACACTATGCAGATAAAGTTCTTTGGTTTGAAAATGCTATAAAATACAACATTTATTTAAAACTCATTCATAACAGATTTCAAAGAATATAAGGGTATCTACCAACAACATTCCAAACGGATTTTTTTTAATAAGTGAGATACCTGTGAAGTTCTCAAGTAATCACTTTCCTACCTTAATAAGTAAAGTTGTGATTTATTTGGGTAAAGGTGAATGGCTCGGTTTATATCCTTCACAGCGTTTTGTAAATTATGAATCTGTAATTTATAAAGAAAAAACAGCAATTTAATTGCTCATATGAACACCATTTGGAGACACAATTACTATTTCTGTAAATGTGGCTCTGCAGGATGTAATGCCCACGTTGTAACAACTCACAAGGCACATACGCTCTCTGTAAAGGAGCTCAACATGTTTTTAATAAAGATCTGAAACATTTACCCTACATATTTCCATAATCTCCTATAAGGCAGATCCAAACTCCAGACAGTTTCTTTACTTTTCCAAAATCCAAAGACGACTCTAGACTATGGGGAAGGAGATTAGATCATGAGATCCACATGCACATATGTCCTGATGAATCTTCATTGCTGTAATGAATTTGCATTTGTTTTTCAAGTGTCTGTGCATGTGGTCCCATTCAGCCTGCTCCAGATGCTGAGGAGAAAGATCAGTGACTGATCATTACAAGGACTGATTCATCCAGCTGGGACAGCTGCTAACTTGAACTTTCATTAAAGAACAGTATTAATGGAATGCATGTACTGAGCTTTGTTTTACTGCTTTACATTGAAATTTTAAAAAAAAAAAAAAAGAGAGAGAAAAAAGCCAAAATATTCTCCCAAAAACCAACAACAAAAAAACCCTACAAAAGCAACCTGAGAATTAGTGGATGACATCCAATCTAAACTGTCAGGCAAAAATTTTTAGAAACAGTATCAAAAAAAGAATATCACTGATCCCCTTATAGATGGAAGGCATAACAGTTGTTTGAATTCTGCTAATGAAATCTACAGAATTAAGGTCACACTCAATATTCCATTCCTTGTACTCCTGAGAGCGTCTCACAACAGCTGCTAGCAGAAACTATTCTCAAATCCCATGCAGAAGTAGGATATGTATGTTTCATAGTAAATTAAAATATTGAAAATATTTTCACTCCTCTATTTGTGGAGAGAAAAATTTTAGTTTCCTGAAAAATTTGTATTCTTAAGAAAATTTTGTTCAGAACATACTGTATTTCAAAATGGGGGGATTTTATCTTTAAAAAAATACACATTTTCAAAAAAATATTTTGAAAAGTATATTTCAAAAAATGTATTAAATCTCAGATTTGATGTACACTGATATAGAAAAAATAAAACGACATGAAATATTTTTTGTCATTGCATTAGATGAACAATATTTTACAATTGCAATGTATTTAATACTATTATGGTGACAAGGACTACTTGAAACATATATATATAAACAGGTTCTAACATCTGTATAACACCAAGGCATATGTATTAAAATAGTCACAATAATCATAATTATAAATAAAGCTATATTAAGTGGCCAACAAAAGCAAAAGAAATTTATTACCTTATGATATGCTTGCGCTCTGCATATGTAGGCTCTAATAGCGAGAGGATCAGTTTCAATGGTATTAGTAAACCATTGAATAGCTTCATGGTATTGATTGAGATGCAACATCAGTATCGAACCAATATTTAGGTAGGCAAAGACGACAGAGCTAAAAACAGATTTTTTTCCTTTTGTTATTGCATGAAATACGTTATTGTATTAACCACAACTTATACAGGCTACACCTGCTTTTACAACATCTACCACACATCTATTTTGTGATTGCACTGAGCTAAGGAATTCCAATTGCCAGCAGAGGACAGAGCTCATTTAAAAACACCGTTTCAGTAGCTTATGATGTTTGGCTGCCCACTAGAGACACTCTGATCACCAAAACCATCCCTCCAAATCTGAATTGTGAAGAAATTATGACAAGTCTCTGTTGTAGAAGCTGGACCAGAAATAGAACTAGCTGGTAATTTTGTATATACTGAATACACCAAGAAATACTGAATCCTTCAACACCAAAACTACATTGTAGTTTCAAAAGACTAACAAAGCTTAGGTGTTTTCCATCTAGCCTGCTCCCTTATTTTGTGTTATTTCACTTGGCTAGCTGCTAGGGAGACCTGCATTTCCAAGATCTACAATAACTTGCACAGCCCACTCTTACAGACTGTTTTTAGGCAAAGTTCAATACTTCCTACAGCAGAGCCAAGACAAAGGATGAGCTGAGGTGTCTTTAGGCCTGTCACAAATTGGAATGGAAGCCTTTCCTCCAGATGCAATTGTTGAGGTTGCTTGAGGATGAACAAGAACACAGTATCTTTAGAGTAAGGTAATTAATGCAGCTAACTGGTATGGAGGTCTGTTGCATGTTGTAAGACAGTTTGCATGGCAGGGCTGCTACAGATAATGCTTCATAAAGATTATAAGTGGTAGGAAGAAATGCAATTCAGAGAAACCACATGAACGTCAGCCACCAACTATGAAGGAACACAAACAGCATTTATTTTTTAATTTTACTGGCTTTTGCTAAAGAAAGCATTGTGGTATTTTATTTTGGAAAAAAAAAAAGGTTTGACTTTTTTCCTGTGTTGGAGACAGATTCCCTCCCAAAAGACTAATGACATTATTAGGGTATGAGTAGTCAACTTAAATTGGGACTTCAGTTACATCTATTATCTGCCAAACCTGTATAATTTATTTGCCAAGTTTCCATGTAAGGTAAAATAAAATTTAATTTTGAAATACATTAGTAATTATATTTACCATACCCAGACTATAGTAAATAAGGCAAAAGATACTAAAAGAATACAACACTATGGTTTTGTGGGGCTTAATTCCAGTATATTTGCTGAATAACAGTTCTGATTCTACTTTCTTTTATTACTACTTTTATGCCCCGAGGTAATTAGAATATAAACAACATATATTAAAATTCTCAAGTCCAATCACCTGTCCAAAGCTAGGACACTTTCAAAGTCAGAGATTGCAAGTGACCATTGACGCTGTTCTGAGTAAACAATCCCACGATGAAGAAAAGAACGTAAGTTTTCCCGAGTGTCATTGATGAGCACTGGGGGAGAAGGAGAACAAAAATCAACTATTGAGATATTCACATATATTTCAGTTACTCCATGCAACTTATTTGCACATTACTTTTTACTCTGATTTTCATAAGAATTTTGAAAAACATCATATATAAACCATAACATATTAGATCATAACAGAAATTGTTCATTGTGGCACAAAATACCTTCAAGACCTATTTATAATTCTCAGTTACACCCACTTAAATTGTTAAAAGTGAAGCAGAAAAGCTTAGGAAGCAGAGACAAAATAAATGAATAAAAACAACAGCAGCAAAAGACAACGTCTAATAGCACATTCAGTAGAAATGGAGCAAGTTATTACCAAACACTGACAGACAACCATACATTTCAATATTTTCAACATGAAATTTCTGTTTTATATTACAGTATAGTAATTACTGGCGAACACTCATTCCTCTTTTTAATGATAAACATGCACACCATGAAAAGGAAGAAACAATACCAGAAACACTGAAGTCCTGCACAGCTCTTTTTGGATCGATCTGTTGTAGTATGCAACCTCTATAGTAGAATGCTAACCAACAAGAAGGGTCTAGATGAATCGCTGTTGCTAAGTCTTGTATTGCATTTCTATACTGCTGCTGCCTAGCATAGGCTCTTCCTCGATACAGCCTAATAAGGAAGAAAGTTTCTCTTTAAATATGATTTCCCTTAGAAAAGTATACCTACAGCATGAAGTCATAGACTATTGTTTATAATATTAACAGGTTGAGCCAACTTAAAAGAGTTCCTCCGCTGTTTTTATGATGCAGCCTTGAAGTAATTACTCAGGAAAGAATGTTGAAAAGTAGAATAAATGTCCAATTTTATTTCTCAATTTAATAAAGCAAGTCTGAAGGAACAAATTCCAGTAATCTATACATATAGGCAGATTGCCTCACTTGCATAAATCAAATTCAATATAATGGAAACGTCTATCAGCTTTGGGCATCACAGAGTTGAATGGAACTCTCTCCAAGTTCCACAGTCTATTGGCGTAGCAGTTTCTGCATGGGAAACACCAGATTTTGTTAAATCTGATTTAAAAGAAAAAATATAAAGTTTCTCTCATTACTATTAGAACTTTCTGAAAATATCCATTCTATTCTTCAATATTTCCTTCAAACAGACAAGTTTACAAAATCAGATCCTACTATTTTACACTATTCTTTCCTCAAATTCAGGAAGCTAGAAATATATTTACACAAGGTAAATAACAAGCACAGGCAAAAAATGTGAATAGACAGCAATGGCTGTAAAATTATTTTATCATAGAATCATTATGTTGGAAAAGACCTTTAAGATCATCAAGTCCAACCATAAACCTAACACTGCCAAGTCCACTACTAAACCATGTCCCTAACTACTGTTTTAGTGTACTTCAAATAGGGAAGCAGAATAAGGCATAATATATAAAACATATTTTTGTATTACTGAAGAAAGTTTTCACTTAATAAGCAGGTCTAATGTCACATCGCACTTCTATGCAGAGTTATCATGCAAAATATATACTATACCTTTTTCAATCTAACACAGTAAAGTCAGCTCCTCAAGAATTTAAATCGCTGCTTAAATCTACACAAACACAAGGCACTGATATTAATCATACTCACTAGGACTATTCACAGAGTCCACACATCAACACATGAGCCTCAATGAACTAATGGATTTCAGAAAGTCAAATGCAGCTTTACATTGCTTCTAGATTTTATTTCAAATTTAGAGTTTTAAGGAGCATTTGTAAATTACATTAGTAGCACAGAATCCTAATGTCATAAGAAAGCTTTGCGTGATTCTGTTGTTCCCTGTGATGAAGAAGATGGACTGACAGGTAGAAGATACACATAGGAGAGTCCTTCCCTGTTCCCTGAACATTTCTGTTCAGTTTGGATGGAAATAAAATATTTGAACTTAGGTCTCTATTTGTAGATGTCTACAATTTCCATTAGGTGTCTGGCTTTCCGTTACAGCTGATGAAGATCTAGTCAATATAATCCAAGGACATGAGAGCAATTCAGTTTATCCAAAAATATACACTTACTGGATGTTTAGCTAAACAGCTCTCCAGGCTTTATATTCAATCTACCTGGAGTCTACTAACTGTACTGATTAGTCCTTGGTGATAACAGCTGCTCAGACACCTACATCCCATGGATAAAACAAGCTGACACCAAAATTCAGGTATCATAATCTGGCATTGAATATCTAATTTTATTTTACCTCTATTTTCAAGAATCCAGAATAGAATATAAAAAGAATGCAAACCTTTGCAGAAATTATATTCTAAAAGTCACATTCTTTAGTAGGGAAATAATATAATATTTTTTTCAGTCTTTATAAGCCAAACCTCAAAATTATTATTATAATGCGAAAATAAAGATGCTTCTCATTCATAATTCACATTTTTCACAGAAAAATGTAATTCAGCATAACACTAAAACCCAGAGTGTAAAGGCAACCAATGGAAATTAAGCATAGAACTATGTAATCCTTAAGGACATTCTTCACTTTGAGCATGTATTTAAATCCAGCTCTTTGGAGCAAAGCACATATGCACGTGCTTAAGTCCAACTGACTCTATATTTGCATTACTCCAGTGGGATCTTAGCACATGGTTCTGTGCTTAGCTAAATTAAGGTCTAGGGACTAATCCAAAATCATTAAAGCAATACAAAGATTCCCCAATGAATATCATGGCCTAGAAGTGTTCTTCTATTTCTGTTAGACACCTTTTTGGAAATGCAATTGCTTTATTATTGTTTAATGCATATTCAGTCTTTTACATATTAATATTATTTTAATAATCAACTTAAAATTCAAATACTTTTGTCTAATTATATATCCCACCTCGCCTGAGCATTGCTGGGGTCTTCCTTGATCACAGCTGTAAAATCCTGAATAGCTGTAGTCAAAACTGAATGGTCAAAGAAATGTATTCCATGTTTCATAAGTGCATCTGTTCTTTTTGGGTTATACTGAAAACACTATAATGAAAAAAATAAAGTAGTACATGGTATTATTCCTTATTCTTATTATTTCTAATGATTTCAAATCTTAACCAAGCATAAAAATAATATATACTTTTATTCTCAGATTTTCTTTTTTATTCCTTTGTCCTTTAAGGTCTATTGTAATTTCCACTACCTGTAAATTGAAGTAAAAAGAGTAATGATGCAAGTTTATTAGTGGCTAATAATTTATAGACATTCAGTAATTTATTGAATTAGCCAGCAGGAGTAACAGAAATTTCTTATTTATTTCCATAGCACTGTTGGGTTTTTTTAAAACATCATTTATTTGAAAGGATATCTGTTGTGTAAACTGCTTACCAGATACATTCAAATACAGTTTACTTTTACTAAAGTTACAGAAAGTTACTACACTATTCTAACAGTACAAAAAATGTGAACTTACTTTGGCATAATCATCCATGGCCAATAAGAATTGATTTTCCTCAAAATACAACTCAGCTCTCCTAAAATAAATGTCATCATCTGTAGGGCAGCGCTGTATTGCAGAGCTATAATTGACGATTGCCAATGTATTGTCACCTTGTTTCCTGTAAATTTCAGCCATTGACAGGTATGTATCTGAAACAACTGCCCAAAACATAAAAGGTACTATTTAGCAGCCCAGAACAATAAGTCATCTCCTCCTTGCAGGGTAATTAACATAAACAGTAGAAATAGAACAGCAGATTATACAAAAGGTTAGGAAGCCCTGTTTTATTCTGGGCAACAGTACTCAAAAGTTTAGAGCTATAGCTGTGTGCCCAAGCGTGGAGCCCGTGCAGCTGAAAACTGGTAGCTCCTGCTGGATTCACAGGTACTAAAAATGTTTGCTCTTTGCAGACCTCTGTAGAAATGGCCCATCAGGACATTTAGTGTAGATGTGTTGATCACAAACAAATATAAAGATATTTAGTTTAAATGGGCACACACAATAATTATCCCACTGTATTGGATCTGGTCAGGATAGAGTGAACTTTTTTTATAACTGCCCCTATGGTGCTTTGTTTGGGATTTGTGGCTAAAACAGTGTTGATCGCACAAAAATGTTTGAGCTCTTGCTGAACAATGCTTTAACACTATCAAGGCTTTTATTTTTTTCCCCTCTCTCCTCTGCCGTCTCTCCAGCGAGTAAGCTAGGAGTGGGCAAGAAGCTGGGAGGGGACACAGCTGGGACAGCGGCCTTTAATAGGCTAAAGGGACATTCCATACCATGTAATGTCATGCTCAGCAACAGAAAAAAATCAGGGTCTAGGAAGAAGGGGGGTGGGTGCAGTGACTTCCAAGTCCATGTTCACTTAAAATTTCCTTTGTTGCAACCTGTGACCATTGCCTTCTGTTTTGCTGTGCATCTCTCGGAAGATTCTGACTGTCTTTGTTATCACCTATGACGTACCTGAGAGCAGATTTCCCCCTTACCTTTTCCAGGCTATGAAACTCATCACCCTCATCCTTTCTTCATACAACTTAGGCTCCGGACCCCTGACCGTCTTAACAACTTTCCAAGGACTCTCTTTAGCTTCTCTCTCTTCAGCTTCTCTCTCGCATACCAGGGGTTCCAAAATTGGACAAAGAATTGGAGGTGCAGCATGACAACCTGGCAGAGGGGAATCACTCCCCTGATCTGCAGGGCCCGGTCCGTCAACCAGGTGGTATCTTTCCCTTTTAAGCTCCTCCTTCCCAGTTTAAACGGTTTTAAAATGGGTTGACCAAAGCACAATAGCACACTGTCTCTAATCATGACAGGATTGTTATCAGCTTTCCCCCTTAAATTAATGGGTACAATTTCCATCAGTCCTCCTGTTTACTTTTTTTCTTTTGCATTTAAAAAAAAAAAAACACAAAAATTAAGTACTTATTTCTGCCTTAGAAACTCAACTTCTCTCCCAGGTCTTTGAATATTCACGTCTGCTTTAAAGTCTTTTATTAATACGAATAAAACAACTGATGTAAGGTTAAAACATACAAAAACATTTGCAAAACTAGGACCAAACAGAACTAGAGAAAAACACAATGCAAAATTAACTGTTAAGTAACACTTCAGTAGTTAGTTACCTGCATTATTTTTGCTCCATTTAGTGATAAAATTCAGATCATCCAAAGCAGCAGAAATTCTGTCTTGAAAGAGGTAAATCAAATGTCTATGCCAGTAAGCATTTAGCAGTAGTGGTTCTAAGCTTATAGCCTATAAACAAAATAAGCAAATAACTTATTTACATTGCATAAGAAACTTCTCAAATGTGCTAACAATATTACATGGGAAATAAGAACATTTTTGCACTGAAATTATTTTTTAAAGAAAATTCCTAGACTAGCAAACTTTTATTTTACCTAAGTATCTCAAAAATTTTATTAATGTAAATTGTTTTTTAAAAGCGTCATGTACTAACACATATGCACAGAGTCCAAGCTACCAGAATGTTCAGCACAAAACATTAATCAGCTGGAATATTACTGTGTTTGATGATTTCTTTAAAATAGTTACCTGAACTATTTCTAGAAGTCAGAATTCTATTTGAAAGTAAGAAATAATTAACCTGTCCCTGTGAAAAAGGAATCAGCTTTTCAAACCATGCTGTTATGATTCCTATAGAAAGCACTTAACATTCCCTAACAAAAATCACTTGACAGATATTATCAATCAAATAAGATATTTCATATATGTTCATTACACATATTATACACACTGAAGAGCCATATGGAAACAAGTATAGAGACTGATACAAATCTGAGACTGTTCTCCTACAACAGTAATTTTGGTTTATAAACTTTTTCTAGGATCCATAAACTACATAGGAACTGTGTTCTTATATCTCAAAGAGAAAATTCAGTGGGTTTTTTTACTAAAATATGCAATAGCAATGACAAGCAATTTTGACAGTTGATATCGGTCAATTAATCACTTTGCCAGGTTGCGGAATTTTTAGCACATCCTTGACAGTCTGTTTCTGAAGTTTGGGGTGAATAAAAAAGACAGGCTGTGTGTAACAACGTTAAATGACAATGAAAATACCACACTGGAAGTACAACACATAACTTCTCTACCCAGGTTTCACAAACATACAGAACTATATCATTGGTTAAAGAATGTCTTTGAAAGCTTTTACAGCTTCCACATCTAAATCAGAGACTAAAAATATTATTGTCATTTTTGGTTTTTTGGCAATGCTTTCATTCTGTTCTGGTTGTTTCTTTCTAGTTATGCAGGGTCTTGGGTTGAAGTAATAGCAGGTTTGTAGCACTATAAAGGGAACTAAGTGTTGAAAAAATAAATGTACATAGAAAACCACAAGTATTAATGTATAAAATCTTAGTGTCAAATGATAGTTCATAAACAGGAAATATGTGACTTTTCAATTTATTTGCTCACTATGCTTTTGCAGAAATTAAAAATTTATTTGTCAGATTTGCCAGCAACAACACTTGAAGCAAAAGACTTTCTGTGCTTTTAGTCTATCCTATCTCCAACTCCATTTAGGAGCATTGTGTCCTGAGTAAGAGTCCCCAAACATTATGGTGCTTGAGGAACACTAGGGTAAATAAACACAGTTTATTTACAAAAGCCTGCATCTTCACTCTAGTAAGACTAAACTTAGATCATGCTGTCATACAAAGGTAAAAGGTCACAGCATTCAGCTAGTTATCAAAAAGAAAAAAAAAATGTACTTGATATAAGTAAAACTTGGCATTAAACTTACTTTTTCCAAGTCATCCATAGCTGATTTTAACTTGCCTAACTTCCTTTGTATTGCTCCACGCCTGCAGTAGTGAAAAGCTGAAGGATGCTCTTCCTTTTCTATTATCTCAGTCAGTCTTCTTACTTCTTCTTCCAAATCTTCAATGCTAACTGTTGCACCTTCAAGAAGAACAGGCTGTATTGAGTCAACCAGTTCTATTTGTAGATTTGCTTCTTGAGAGTCCACCATCTCAGTTCCTTTTAGTAATTCAGCATCCTTCTCCTCAGAAGCAGTCCCACTGGAAGGGAAAGTTTCATCAAACCAGCAGTTCCATATTCCATGGACCAACACGCGAGCAGAAGTTTCTTTTGGAATTTCACCCCTCACTTTTGCAGATTTTTCAAAACCTAACAAACAAGGCATGCTGTGGCTGTGATATTTTCAACTGCTGAAGAAACCTTGATACTGAATTTATCATGAACAGAAAGCCTTCCCAGAGACACAGACTTAGAGGAAAAATATATTAAAATTAGCTAAAGGATCCCAAATATATCAAAGACATCAAATTGCAATCTGCCAGTCAACAGCTATTCAAAAACCTATTGTTAGTATTTGTTAGTATCTCTTGATAATGATAATTTTTTAACTTATCAGCTATTTATCAAAAACCATTATTGAAGCTGCAGGTAAGCAGAATTGTTCTGAATGGTTCACGTCCCCAGAATGTTCAGCATCTTTTCTCAGTTGCATGCTTATTTCCTCCAAAACCTTCTAACTTATGTTAGCATTTTCCCTGAAAACCTAAGACAATATTTCTGAGTGGACAATTGATACATGGGTAATTGATACATCCTACATGGATTAATGTATCAATGACAGATCCCAATGATATCAGGAAGAGGCCATAAGAATATAAGCAGACGAAGCACCACCCAGAGTTGGAAAAAAAACCATTTGAATTTACAAGGACATTTCCAAAATGATAATCTGGGAAAATTCATAGTTCTCAAGATGGGAGCCTTCACAAATGTTCAATATCAACATCTGCTTTGAGACAAAGAAACAGAAGTCTTTTACAGAAACACTTAATCACAAACAATACTAGTCTGCTAACACGGAAGGAAATATCAGAAGGAAATATAGAACAAATTTTATATATATATATATATATATACACATTTATATATATAAAAAATACTATGTACCTAATATTTAGAAAATTTTATAATAAGGATCCTACTAGGGAAAAAAAAAAGGGAAATTAAATAAAAAACTTAGCAGGCCCATGCATGAATGACATGCAAATTAGATGAAATCCCCTTGGTTTAGTAAAACTGGTATGAAAGCCTTAGACTGCAAGGAACATACAGTTCCCCTGTCTAAAACAAGACTTTGGGAAAAGCCCACTTTCTCCCTTGAGAAACATATAGTGAGTCACAGCTCACTATATCAGTTTATCATATCATTTCAGTATCTTTGATTTTCTTAAGAATAAACTTTCTAAAAGGTCCTTATGAGCAGAAAAAAATAAGAAGCTAAAGGGAATACTGACTTGGAGGACTAGATCTGAACATCAACGTAAGTACAATGTGGAAACATATGACTGTACCCAAAAATAAACAACATTTGGGGGAGTTCTGCAGGTCACACTTCAAGTGTAAGTATTTAAGAAATATCAAAAAACTACTAGGAACTTTTTTTTTTAATACTTAAATATTTTTGAAGGTAGCCCTTATCTGAAGTATGTAGATAAAAAATATTCACAAGAAAAATATTTAGAATGATACATGAAAACAAAAGGCAAAAAGCAAACTACTTGTTTGATGCAATCTACGAAGTTCATGGTAAAAAGGTTAGTCCAGCCCAGCATTTCAGTTTCCTAAGAATTTAGGATTTCCCCCTTGTCCTTCAGAAAAAAGAAGTTTGACCATTTTAATCATGCATTTATACTTAGATAAAACTTATTCTGTTGTTACATAAAGCAACACTATTTCCATTTAAAGTGCAGTATATACTAAGTGTCCTAGAGATACCTGAGCAGTATGCATTTTTGCTTTGTATTAAAAATACAGATATTATTCCCAAATAACAGAACGATTATTACTTAATTTCAGAGCAATATTTAATATTTAAAAAGATAAATGCCGTAATTAGATAATATGGCTCAAAATGAAAATATGTTCTTTAAAAAGGCAATACATATTAATTAAAGAAAACCTTTTATGAATCTTCAGGGGTTTACTTAATTTCTTAATCACATCTTCTAATTTTCTAGGATTTCTCATTTTCTTTGATTTCTTTGTTTTCCTTTTTCTTGAGAAATCCGTGTATTTAATCCCAGCCTTTTGAGGTTGCTCCACAAGAACGATGTCATTCTCACTATCCTCTTGTCGAGTCAAAGTAAGCATTTTTTCTGCTGGTCTGTCTGTCTGCATTGACTGAGGATCACCACAGATTTGATTCAATAGTTGCTTGGCAGGGGAACTTTTCACGGTCTCTGTCTCAACCTCTGGCTCAGCTATCCGTTGCTTCATAACCTTCAACTCTTTCATGCTGATTTTGAAATTAGCTGACATTTTTAATGTAGTTTCATCTTTGAAAGCAGTTATCTCCAGAGCTGAGGCTGATCTTTTAATCAAACTTGTCTGTTAATAAAAGGAAACTTAATTTATTTAGCTGTTCGTTTGAAATAAGATTTATATATTTCCTTAGTTCAAATGGACTTCATTTTATTTTATATAAAATTGTAAAGGAAAAAAAAGAGCGACATGGGAACTACACTGTTGGAAAAAATTATAGTATTTAATGGGAAAAAAAATCTGCATACCTCAGGTTATGTGTCAAAGCAAAAAGATCTAAAACATTAATTCAAAGTTATTTGAAGCTTATAAATGGCTAAAATCAATCTTCTCTAAAAAGTATCACAAGAAATTTGAATTAAATACACCCAGTCCTTGTAGGGAAGTTAAATTTTAAAATCAAAAATGTATGTCACTGGTGGTGACATCCACAAAATGATGAAATGAGATATATTCACAAACTCAGAAGAAAAGACAGAAGAACTCCGTATAATGTTTAGAAGTACAATTGTATTATATGGAAACAGAGTTAATATCTGAATAGAATTATGCACTCGTACTTTGTGCCCCCATCTCTGAATCACCTGATAAAATCAAAACCAAAAGAATAACTTATCCTCTGATGTGTAATTGTTATTAACTATTAAGTAACTACTATTTGCAATAACAAATGTATTGCTTCCCAGTCTTTTTGTTACTTCCAGTTCATTAACTTGCACTATAATACTAGGCATAACACATCTTTGCCAAAGAAATTAAAATGCAATTTCATGTCCGCTGCCTGAAATTTACAAAGTTCTTGAAATTACTTGCTAGTAATAAATAAAATAAATGAAAAAATAAATGAAGCATTGGATAATTTTTAATTAAACTCAAAGAAGCACTTTTTCAATGCTTGACTACAGACATCTGCTAAGTATTAATTTATATATTTGTTAGAAAGACACTTCATCAGCCTTTGGTTTATTTTAACAATAACTAAAGTACTTCATTTAAGTAACTAAATACCTTTCATTCTTTATTTGTGGTAACGTATTATAACCCTGTGAAATTTTGAAAAGATAATAAAAAAACCTCAGTGTCACAAGCGTGCCCCTTTTCTTTAGGAAAATTGTATTTTTAAAAGAAATCTAAGCTGAATAGTAATTTATTAAAAAGCTGAAGCTCAATGTAAAGCTATCATTTATCACTACATTTACCAAAACAAATAGTTTGACTGCAAATTGCATAAATACTGAATTGCTACTTGCTAAATTCTTTAATGAACTATGCATAGTTTTGCTGAAGAATTGCTAGCTGAATTCAACAAGACTATTTCTATTTGAACGTGAAACTAGTATTTTAAAAATCAAGCATCAATGATTAGTTCTGATTGCAAATCGGATGTTGAATTTATTTTATTTATCATTCAATAGAAACTGCTGCCATGCTTCATATCTGTCTTTAAAGTAACATGGTCACAACACTTTAAGCAAGTCCTTATGGACTATAGAGAAGTTTCAAATAAATACATACTCCTCAAATTCTTACTCAAAATCAAATTTGTTAATAAAACATTACTTGTATAATGCTATAGAGGTCATCTTTGCACAAGTGTAAATTTGCACAGTTCATTGCTGCTTTATTTCTTTTGTGAAACAGCTAATGTAACCTCAATAGCCATAAAAGTACATAATACTTTACAGATTGGAAACTTGACAACATTGATGCCCTAATACGTCTGAAATCCAAGGGCTTGATACCGCAAATCTTTACTCAGGGATGTTGCTCCACTCATTTCAGACTAGCTGGAGTACGGACTACTCACACTTCTATCTATGCAAATGCCTGTGAAGTTAACAGGGCTTCTCATTGCAGAGCTATGTTCTCCTACTCAGTGTAATGAATCCACTTGAAAAAGACCTTTGAGACTCTCACTTTTCCATCTAATAGGAAAATACTACGTTCAATTCAGTTCAGTGGAAGAATTTCTTCCACAAAATCACAGTTCAGGAACAAATACAAGTAAATATAAAATAATACCTCTGAACTCTCACTGCCGAAAAAATTAGGCAAGGATTGGTATCTTCTTGGTAAACTTTTTGTCTACAGATAAAACAAAAAGCAAAATAAATGAATTAGTTTGAGATTAATATAAATAGAGCTTTCCAATACATTCTGCTTTTAAAAGCAGAAACTGACAAAAATAGAGCCCACCTTTGCCAGACTGAAGGACTGTATTTTTCTGGATCTCTAGATGTCTTAAAGCAGTTCCACTGCCACTTTTTCAAAAATCCAAGACATGTTCAATGTACTCATATAGATTAATGCTAAAGAGCACGTACAGTCAGTGGAAATACTCTACATATGTGCTGTATATGCTCCAATCTCAGAACATACTATGAATATGCCATACTGTTCATCACCTAGTGAATTTAATGAGCATATGGAGAAGTTTTTCCAATGAATGTATTTTAAGCTGGATGCTTCTTAAAAATATCATATGTTACATTAGTCACACACACATTCCTATCTTGGGAATCCCAAACAAAAACAATGGCCAGGTAACATCACCACAACCATCATTTTCAATGAGAATATCACTTCTTCCTGAGAACCTATATATGCTTTGTCTGTTTTTAATTGTTGTTAACAGACCTCCTTGTACCATAGTAACAGTTTTATTTTTCAGTAAAAGAGATGTTCCCGAAAGGTTCACATGCAAACATGGAAAAATACAATACTTTAGTAACCGCAGATTTTATTACTTCCAGTTATTATATCTAATGGCCCAGTCAACCTGTAGGCAAAGGACTACCAGCACTTTTCATCTCTGCAGGACAATTTCAAATCAGTTTATAGTTATATATACAGCCATAACTTCTTTGTGCCTGAAATCAAAGATGATATATAATTCCAAATAGTTTTTAGCTAAACACAAAATAACGATCTTAAGTTGCTGTTGCCAGAGGATGGAGGAGATATGCAAAGTTGATGGCAAAACTCTTCCCTTTTGACATACTAAATAAGATTCTCATTATTTCTAGCCAGTTCGAGCAAAAAATGTTCAAGCCAGCAGGTGTTCCTTTATGACCATTAAACTTATTTTTTTTATTCCACATCCATGTCATCTACAAGTCACATACTCTTGAATGACATTTTCAGATAGCCACAGTCACTATTAAAAAGGCTTTTTAAGGACAAAGCAAGCATGTCTAGCCCCATGTTTCACTTTCAAATAGGAAACACATTATCAGACAGATCTTAACTGCTCTAGTAATCCGAACCTGCAGATGAAGCCCTAAATTTTAATATAAAACAGTGCCTCCAAACACTAAATTATACCTGGGAGCTCAGCTGCAGTAATTATATGCTAGCCTCAGTTTGCCCATTTCTGGCTGCAAATACATCCACACATGCATTAGTTTTCCTCAGTTCCAGCTGAGGTCTCAGCAACATCGCCAGCCAGTTCTAATCTTTCAGCTGTATTTTAGCTACCAGAATACTCACTTGTACCTCAAATTCTCTAGTAAAGAAATATTTTCAGCCTACCATGGCATTTTGGTAAGCTTTTACCCACTTTTGCTTCTCAGATCTATTCACTTGAAATAGCTAACCTTATGTAAACACCTATAACTGAGCACTATCATTAGGCACTTTGGGCTCTCTGTGCAGCCTACAGCTCTCATGCCCTACATTGCCCCCATGAAGCAGATAATGGTGTTTGATATAGTCAGGATTCTGTAACTGGAAAAACTCACACTGCAGCTTAGAGCCACACTTCAATCCTTCACTTGCAAATCACCCGCACAGAATTGCCTATCCTTTCATATTACATTCAGAGAAATTCCAGATAAAAAAATAATAATCACACACTTGGAAACATTTCTTTTCCCTTATTCTGCTTCTTGACTCTGCCAGTTTTTTAGATGTCTGGGCATAGTGGAATATCCAGTAAGCTGCTGCACTGATATATGTCATATTACTCATAAACCTGTTATTTATATCACAGACCCTCACCTAAACCATCATCTAGTGCTATAATAATGCAAAATAAGGAGCACCTTTAAAATATGCAATAATCCTTTCCAAGCACAGTCTCAAGTTTCAAAAAGTGAGATTTAGCACTTTCTACCAATTAAAAAATGAACAAATATCTAACATGAAATTGTTTCTAGAAATCAACTACATAGAAATATTTGTCTTATGACTAGATCTTCAAACTATGAATTGTTTTGCTAATCTTAATTTCTAGTGTTCCATTGTAAAAAAATTATACCGTAGTACACACCAGTTCATAGAGACCATGATCCTCTTGCTCAGCTTCTAACTCTTCTTCACGATCAGTGAAAAGGTCTTGAAATACACCATCCTCAATAACATTGCTCTGAAATATTAATATATTTGCATATTTTAATATATGCAATACTATTATTTTAGTCAGCTATAGGAAATATAGTAACAGATAAATAAAAAGAGCCTATAACGTAGTTGAGCTAAAGATTTATGATGAGCAAGACAGAAGTAATTTATCCTAGGCTTCTGATGGAGCACATTCTTAACGTGATCAAGAATTGCATGGTACAGAAGGGGCAGAGATGTGAGGAAACTGATTAATGCTACTTGATTGTCTAAAGTTTTTATCTTTAGCTTTGGTAATTTATGTCAGGTCACAGTAGTACATACAGTAGCAAGAACACAGATCTCAATTTGATCATAGCAAGGCTAGGTGGTGGGGAACTATGGCAGGTTTATTCCTGCTATCAATTAATCCATGCATAAGTGTGCTTTATCTCTTGTACAGGAGTGTGAACTGGTCATGAAATCTAGTTTCTCTGTAACCTCTGCTATACGAAGGCACAGAGCGCTACAGATACAGGCATACAATAGGCATGTCCATTTGCATGAACAGCTTATCTCTTGCAATAGTGTAATCACAGTGGAATTTTTTATATTCAGAACATGTAAAAATTCAAAAACATTGGCATTTTCTAAAATGGACTTTGTTACATATAAAAAAAAAAATTACTATGTTTTCATAGAAATCACTGCCAGCATAGCATAGCAGAAGAAAAATTATACAAAAGTAGCTTTCCACATAAATGTAAAGACATTAAGCAGACAATATAATAGCAAGTAGTAATTAAGAATAATTACTATCAGAAACTACATTATTGTAGAAAGTTAAATGAAACAATACCATTCAATACACATTATTACAAATTGTACAATTATTTATATACCATGCTTACAATATAAAGAAGTACTAATAAGACAGCAGCAAAAAATACAGCTATTAGATTTAACAAATATATTTTAGAAAAAGATGTATATTTCTGCAAAAGATGGAAACACTAAGATACATTTAAAATATTTACCTCATATGTAGGAAATAAAATTTCCTTTAATGAAATTGTAGCAGAGAGTTTTGGTGGAGCTGGAGCACAAAACATTTTTAAAGCTTCAGGATAGATGGAAACCTTCAAAACCAATACAATTTGGTTATCAACTAACATAACTGCAGCTTATAAATGCCTGTATGGAATCTGAACTGTTAGGTGATAAAATGCCATTTTCTGCTAAACATGATTTTGTCAAAAACGGCCCCACCAAATACAATGAAATCCTGAGAGCCATAGGGCACCACAGCCTGAATGAACTATCTGGTTTGTTCCTTTAGTGTTTTTGTTTCTTATAAATAGGCACATTAGCCTATACTATTACTTCAGAGAAGGAATTAAGAACTTAGACAGGAGGTTTCAAAACAACTCTCCCCATTGATGAAACAGTCCATATAAATTTTGGTATTGCATTTTGTCAAATGTTGAAAAAGCAGCAGAACTTTATTTCCAAGGTGTTCTGTTCTTTTGTTGCATGACACAATAAAAATCAAAAAGTCCATCTCCCCCCCGCCTTCGGATTTGACGTCTCCATTTGTAGGATTGCGCAGGTACAGCAAACATTTATTAAAATTATTTCTTACTTTCTCTCCCAATGGTTGCAGTTGTGGTTTTTTAAGATCATATTCAGCTACTTTTTTGCATTCAGTTAGACTTTCTGATGTATGCAGGGGAAGAAAGTGAATCCCATTGGTCCGATTATTCTGGAATTGCTCTGAAATAGGAACTCCTTCATAACAAATTCTGCAGTAACATAAAAAATTCATAAATTACTCTGTCAGATATTAACACCATGTAAATAGCTTGGTTATTAGAGACAAAGAAAATTACATAAATTTCAAATCAAATTAGAAATAAATGATGGATAAAACTTTTTATTTTCTAAACTAAATATTGAAATTACTTAATATACAATGGAAACCCGGTGCTAAACTTGCAATTTTTGTAGTTACACACCAAATAATTTTAAGAAGACTTTCATGACAGTTGCAGCAAGGGAGATTTAGATTAGATATTAGAAAGAACTACTTTACTGAGAGGGTGGTCAGGCACTGGAACAGCCTGCCCAGGGAGGTGGTGGAGTCACCATCCCTGGAGGTATTTAAGAAACGTATAGACATGGCTCTTCAGGGCATGCTCTAGTGCCCAAGGTTATTGGTTTATGGTGAGGTGTTGAGTGTGGGGTTTAGTTGGTGGGTGCGGTGTTTTTGGTGGGCGTTTGGTGTGGTGTGTTTTGTATTTGTTTGGTGTGGTTTGTTTTTTTGGTTTGTGGTTTTTTTTTTTTTTTTTTTTTGTGGTTGGACTCGATGATCTCAGAGGTCCCTTCCAACCACTAAGATTCTGTGATTCTGTGATGATCAGGTCCATCGTGTTTATTATAGAAGTCACAAGAAAAAAATATAACAATCAACTCTAAATTAGAATGAAATGCATTACATGCGTTAACTTCATGCATACCAATTACACCACTCCAGTGCTATGCTTACAGTCAGATATATTTAAATGACAAAGAGAATTGATTTCAGCAGGAATGTCTGGCTGGTTTTGATCAGCACCTTAGGTGCTTACTTGTGAATTGGATTCTGATTATTTATTTGTTTGCCCGTTTTCTAAAATAAATCTACCTATGGAAAACAACTCACAAAAGGCATTTTTCATTTAGAAAGTTGTAGTTTGAAGTAATTATACCTCCCAATTTCCAGTTTAAGTACAGTTTCAACTTCCAAAACCAGTGAACACTTTCACACAACACATTAACTCATAAGTGTGCTTATATATGCATGTGCATATATATATATGTATATAAAAAGTCCTGTAATAACTGTTCTACCTCTATTTTGTTGGTTCCTGGCACCTCTAAAGTGAAATCCAGATTTGAAAGATCTATTACTACTACTAACCTAGTAAAATTATTTTATCAGTAACAACAACTATTAACATTGGTCACTTAAACAGATATTTTACAGGATTTATAAATAAAATTATAACAAATAGTAGAAGTTATATTTATATTCTCTGCTATTCTTCTTGTAGTTTGTTTTATAGTAAATAATTTTCTCACATATAGTTCTTACCGTACTAGCAATTACAAGCACAGAATGCAATAAATGGTGAAATATGTAATATATACACAAAATCACAAGAAAAAATACTCAATTTCATATATTCAGGTATCCATACATGTATCTAAATTAAAAAGCACATTACAGGAAATACTTCTTTTCTCAACACATTGGCATATACCAACACTGACATCTACTGGTATTAGTCAGGTTTGGGATAGTTTTTCCGCAAACACTAAAATAATAATGAAATATCTTTGCACATTCATGGAACTAAAGTGTGTAACTTCTGTTACTTGCAATTTCACTGTCAGACATATATCTGCTATAGTGGACTCAATTCTCATTTAGGCTAATTTCAGTGTACTTTCATTTTAAAACCTAAATTATCAGAATACTGTATAAACAGGGGGAGTCTCAATACAACTGAGAACGAGCCATTTGATTCAGCAAACAAAATGACTTCTGAAGTACATTTGGACGTTAAAAAGGAATCCTTAAAATGTAGCACTAGCCCAGAAGCTGTAGTTCTTAAATAGAGAGAAAGATTTTAGATCTGGGAGTAGTTCTTGAACTCCTTCTGGAATGTTCCTTTCTTCAAGTGGAAGTTTTGACCAAAGACCTGTTTCTTAAAGAGAAGAAAAACAAGAACTGAAAACCTCACTTTTGAAAAGTGTTTGGGCTTACTAGTTTTTCTTTACATCTAAGTATTTGGTGGTTCTGACTCTTCAAGGTAGGTGTCTGCATAAAAGGAATGTCAAGTGAAGTTATACAAGATACGAAAAGATATAAAGCAATCAAAATATTCCTTAGCATTTTGTGGTTGAAAGTGTTCTAAGTGAACAACGTAAGACAAGCTGTCTCTCTTCTAGGGAAGTTTTGTCATAAATAGTTTTCAAGTCTAGGAGCTTATACTGAGTAATCAACTGAGGGTTAATGGGAAACAACATTCAGACTTCCCACTTCTGGAAGAGAAAAGCAACATGGAGGAAATCTCCAAGTAATAATAATACTGATCTAATAATATTCTGTTTCCATCTGCTGGTAAAAACCTGTAAAATCAGAATGTCTCAGGGAGATGCAGGTATTCCTGCATGAAGGAATCTTAACAAATAACATGAAGCTACAAATGCAGTTAAAATTTTTGTAGGGTATCTGCCATTAACAGGTTTTACTATCCTTATATAATCTTCATAAAAATAAATTTAACTTAATATTTATGTTGATGTCTAAAAAAGTATGTTTTTTTAACTTTCAGATAACTGATGCCTGCAGAGTATGCCAAGATTAAATAAGGGAGCAAAAGCAAGGCACCTTTGCTATCTGATTAAATAAACTTAATAAAGTCAGTCCCAGGAGAGAGCTGTAGCTGACCTTGGGAAGTTTACATCTTGATAAATTGATACATCCTGCTCTGTAAGATGTTTTTTGTAGACGTGAATGAAAAGTTATATATATTTTTAAGCCTGTGGATATTTTTCATAGGGAAGACAAGACTTTAAAGCACGAAAATTATTGCTTTCTTGATCTGATCTACCATAAAATCCTACCACTGTAGGCTTCTTCAGACTTTGTTACAGTCAAACAAGACCCTTTCATGGAAGAATTCAAAGCTAGTACAAAACAAAAAAAAAAAGATAGGTCTCTTGCTATTTAAACAGCTGATGAAGACATTTGAATTTTACTATCCACTACCACTATCGTGCTTACCCTCACATAATCATTTATATTTGTGAAATTAGATAAATGTAGGGAATTGGTCAGTAATGAAATATGAACAGCTTAAATGGACCTAAATTAGTGTCAGGTCACCTTTGACCTTCAAGGCAGACAAGGCAACCGAAATGATACCTTTGACCTTCAAGGCAGACAAGGCAACCAGTTTTAAAAATTAACCAGTTTAAAAATTAAAACCAGAAGATGAGGGTAAAGCGTGCCACTAGATGGCAGTGCTCCAAAGAATTTACTTTTCAAGATTTCGAGGATTAAATGAATTCAGCAAGGAATTTTGGTATGGGTTTCCTTTTAAACTTTAATTCTCTTCATTTCTGGGGATTGTAGCTCTGCATGTAAAAATTTCTTCCCAAAATTTTTTACTGATTCATAAAGTTCAGACTCACCCTCAATTTCCTCCACCTGTTGGTTACTTGCTGAAAACCAAACCATTCTCTTCTTCAAATCCCATCCTCCCACAGCTTCTACAATTCATCTCTCCTAGTTCCATTCCCACCTGACTCCTTCAGTTTCTTGGGGTTCTGTCCTCTCTTCGCCTCTTCTTCTACTCTTTTGCTAGTAATGCTCTAATCAAAGACCACAGACAGGTTCCTTCTCCATGGTAATGAATCAGAGCATGATTCATCACCCTGTTCTGCACCAACAAAAATATCAGATGATCTTCCTCTTAGGGATGTCAAGCTGCCAGTCAGTGCTATCTCAGCAAGGCTGAAAGATAAGGATCTTATGATTCTTTCAGCCTTCTGATCTCTGAAGAGATTATCTTTTCAGCCTTCATGTCCTCCCCACTACTTTCTGTCTTGATCACTACAGCTAGCATCCTATCATTCACATAAACTCAGAACACAGGTATCATTGACAACATTCTAAAATTAAAGTCTTTTTCTAATCTCTCTACAAAGCTAAAGTGTTGTATCTAATTTCATACCTTGCTTGTTGCAGCATCTGTTTCTTTAGCCTAGACAAGCATCACCTGGTTTTGGTCACATTCAAAGTGCTACTGCAAAGATCACAGTTGCTTGCTTTGAACGTTATCCCATTCTTTGAAGTAACAGAAAAAGAGAAGCTCATTCAAATATAGGATTGTCCTCTGCTTTCAAGCTTTCACAACCTTTTCTTTTTTGTCATCTCTAAATCAGTAAAGTGATAGGAACTTCTATTTTTGTGACTTCTGACTCCATCACTGACTTCCTAAGGTTTGGTTTTTTTCTTTTTTGAACATCTTTTTGCCCATCTTCATGCTGCCTCTCACATCTGAGAAAAACTCAGTACAGCTATCAATTTATTCTCTCAGAATTTCCTTAAATCCTCTTCCACCATGACCTGCAAAATAGTCAATGCCTGGGGCTACTGGTACACTGAAATCCCTGCTTACAATGCAGTAAGCTTTGTAAGCATAAGTAAGCAATACGTACTTACAGTGTCCTTATTCTTACTGAGTCCTTATATTCTCTGTCTGTATGTATCCAACAAACAGAAAACGCTGCTGAATCAAAAGCAAACACTCCAATTATGGCCATGAATGATATTAATATGCTACCCAAATTCCTGACAGAAGCAGAAGTTCACAAAAAACAAAGGGAAACATCAGGGCCTTGTCCTGTACCCTGAAATAATGCCATCCTTGGTGGTTAGGGTAATCTTGACTACATCAAAAGAATTCAGTGACTAAAAACTTTCATAAAGCAATTTATGGATTCATATTTTACGGTCAGAGAGAAGCATTATGATTGCCCAACCTAACCTTCTAAATAATACAGATCATAAAGCTCACAATTTGCTGGCTGAAACTCAAGATATATATGTGTGTATATCAGAAGGAAATCTAGTTGTGATTTAAAGGCTATAAGTAATGGATAATTTCAGAAGCTGCTGCTTTCATTGCTATACATCGAAATTTTATTGCTACTCTCAATTTATCTAGACTGAAACCTCAACTACTGGGTCTGTTATATTTTCATTTAGCAAACCCTCTTACATCAGAAACTATACCATGGAAGTAACATATTCAAATCAAATCTATATCTCTTGAGTAAAACCAACATGATGATCTTTTAAAATGTCTTAATACCAAATTGGTATTCAAGAAAAAGGCAGGAATTGACAGTTCTGCTTGCTCCTCTAGAATGGTACGTGGAAGACCCTGTTAAGCGCACAATGTTCTACAAACCTTTATACAGAAGAAGAATCACAGATTTAGCCAACAGGAAATATGTTGCCCCTCTCTGACACTTAGATTTTTCAGGGATTCCAGGCAAAAATCCCCCTCCATTTCAAATCCAGAACATGAAGCCCTTTTCTAAAGGTGGATGTGTCCATTCTTTTAGGGAAGGGCAAAGTGATTCATTTTTTTTCAAGACAGGAAAAAAAGCAGAGTGCTGATTTCCACCTCTTTATGATAATTCATTATTGAAGTACAGAGCCAGGAAATGAGAATTCGTTGCTTATCTGAGGATTCAAACCTCACTCACCATTACATTATTTGACCATTCTGTGTACAGGAAGTTGTGCTGTTGAGCAGAAAAAAATGCAGAAGTCATGCAGCCAAGAGAGAGAGAACAAGTGGTGACATGACAGTCTCAGTTGTTATGGCACTTACCTGAAACAGAAAAGCTCTGTATAATATTTCTAATCCTAAAATGTTTTTTTTTCTGTATTATTGCTAATGTCTCACCTCCTTTATTTTAAGGTAAACAAATTTAAAGTTCAGAGAGTATTACACAGCCATCTTCTGTTGCTTTATCTTTCAAGACTGTAAAGCTCCTTTCACAGTTACTGCTGAGGATACAATCTCCCCTCCTACAAAGGATGACCCTAATTCTCTATTCTTATCCTTATGACCTTGCATTTGGCTGCACTAAACTGCATGTTTTTCAAGTGAGCCTGAGTTAACAAACTACACAAATTGCCCTGTAAAACTGACCTAGCCTTATCCTTATTTACCACTCTGCCATTCTTAAGATCACTAAAGCCTTTACGAGCAATAATTTTATATTTCTGGAGCTGGTGATACACAGAAACCATAGGTAGCGAACTGCCAGTCTGAAAAACCATCAGGAAAAACTTTAGCTTATTAAGGGTCCAATTGTGAATTTTTTTGACGTTACTATATAAACTAGAAAGGCATAAAAAAGCAAAAATATAACCAAAGTAATAAGCAATGAAAAAATAATGTTTCATATTCATTCATATGCCCATTATTTTAGTGCAAAAAAATGTCCAAAAAAGGCAAATGAAAAAACCCAAATATTTAGGAATTCATTTCCATCAAATACAAAAATTGGTAATAGAATAAAATGATAAAACTGGGTAGGCTTATTCCAAAATCTATTTACATTTCCTCACCACTTCTAATAGAATAAAATTTTTGACAGATCTTTTTACACATTGCATTAATCTCAGAAAAATTAATTACTATGCATTTCGTTCTACTTCAGCTCCTCATTCATTAAAGATGTAGGATCCTGTAGTTATCACATGACTACATTTTACATACGCAATGAATACTTTTGACTACAAGTTTATCTAGATCCTAGTTCTGTGTGTGCTGTGTTTTGTGCATGCGTTGAGTACAACAGAACAACACTTAATTACTTAAAGTTGTGCTTGCTCCTAAGTGCTTGTAGAATCAGGACTGAGGTAAGATTGTCTCTGTGATAAAGGGCTAGTGGGTGTGCACTTTAAACCTTTTACTATTGCAGAATTTCACATTCACAGAAAGCCTACTCTCTGCTCAGTCTTTCTTGTTATTTCAATGGGACCTCTCATGTGAGTAGAATGAAGTATAAGAATTCAGATATTTATAACCTAAATTGTGACATATAAATTAAAATATGTCTACAAAATGCAATTTATTTTAAAAACAAACCAAAAAATCTAAGCAAGATATAAGCCTTTTAGTACCCTTGTTCTAATTATTTGAAAACACATCTACCATATAAGGCAATTCTTTTCAAATCTTTTTCTTTGCCACTTCTTTGAAACTACTAAATACTGAAACACCATGAAAGATACTTCTCAATGTATAATGTTTTAACTTACAAAATTAATTAAACCATAGTAACTCTGAAAATAGGTAAGTTCATACCTTTTCTTTTCAGCTGCCTCTCTTAAATAAATATATTTGGAACTCAAGGGTTCTTCCTCCTTATTGTTGGTGTCCTCTGATGTAGATAAGATATTGTGACCTCTTATGTCTAAAGTATGATGAACTCTAGAAGCCAGTTGTAAATAAGGAGACAATATAAAACTAGGAAAAGCAGTATGTAGACGATGAATGTCTGGATAATGTCTACCTCTAAAAAGGAAAACATAGAAATAAAGAATCTTAATATCCATTCTCTATATTCTAAAGTACATAGTTCATCAAATACTATATCACTACATACATCAGACCAAAGGATAGAAATTGCTAACATAAATATTTGGTATGAAGTGCCTTTTTACTAGTAGTAATTCTAGTAGTAATTTCTACTAAAAGTAGAGATCATATTACTTAGAAAGGAAAAAACAGGTAAAGCTAAAATGCTGGGAATAATTTTAAAGTAAAAAAAATTAGTGCAGGAATCACAATTTTGCTTCCCCAACTTGAGTAGAGCTTTCACCTGCTGCACTGAAAACTTAAACCAAGTAATGCAGATTTACAGCTTAAATTGGGTATGTGAATAAATGTTATGTCAAACATATACATTAATCTGCAAATTCTCTCCCATCACAGAGTACCTTGTAAATACCCTTAAAATTTTGAATTAGTTTTATGATATGATATCACTTGAACTTCTTCCGAGCTTGTCAATTCAGCTGTTTTTTTACTGCCTTTGAAAAGTTAATAACTAAAAAATTCTACCATTTAACTCTCCAATCTAAGTTGTACTGAGGGTGATGAAAGTCTATTGACTTCCACAGGCCATGGATCAAATTCTAAAAGCAGTCTGCGGCTACTGTACGAACACTACAAAGTTAATAAATGTCTAACATGCAGACAGTTACCATGTGAAGAACAGTATATGGAAAATGGCTGAGAAGTAAAAAACTCAGAAATGGCTCCCTAAATATATGCTACTTTGAATTATATTTCAGAAGTGCCTTCATAATTTAAAGAGAAAATCCCAAATGAAAATGGTTAAAATTACACTGAAGAGATTTCAGTTTTGACTATTTTTCTGGGTTTCTCCTGAGATGATGACAGTTTCAAGAACTTGGTTTTTTGTTTTACTGAGAATTATACCTTATGTTATAAACAGATAGTATAAAGGGGAACTCAGGAAGAACTACAAAATGAAGTAAGAAGAAACACAAGAGTAATTTATCATCCAATACATATTTAAGTTACAAAACCAGTATTTCATATTTGCTTATATTTTCTGAAAAATAATGACTGTAAGTAAAATATAAATCACACATGTAAAGAAAAAAAATAGACAAAAATCAGTGTAATATAGGAGAACTTTGACTCGCAATCATGAAACTATCACATCAAGTATATAGCAGATACATCTCCATTACGTTTATATAGTCTGAGTCCCTAAGTTTATAGGCACATGACAACCCAACAGGAAAGACTGTCAATTAGTCTTTTCAATTTAAATAAAACTGCTCAAAATATTTTTTTCTGAAGTCATACAACTTTAACATAAAGAAAAGAGCCCAGTTTATGCTTCAACAAGGCAGTTTCACCAGATCTTATAATCCAAAGTCTCTAGTGAAATTAGTGGTAATTTTGCCCGAATGAAAACAGGGTCAAGGCTATGAAATAAAACGTGAAAGTTAAACACAAAAATTAAATACCCGGTTTGAAAAGCAACTCAGTCACACAATAGACGAGACCGATTAGGATTTAACGCACACATACAGCAACCCCATTTAATGCAAAGGATTTTTTTTTAAATAATTAAATACTTTTAAAGCACAAATGGAAATAAGTAACTATTTTGGAGTGTGAAATCGGAGATCAGTGCTTTAATAAGAAGATCACATTAATTTAAAATTAGAAAGAAATATTTTTCACTACATTTTTAACTCCATAGAGATAATATAATCTTTGTAAATGTTTACAGTAGTTTACCTTGGGATGCTCTAACACATCACTTTCTCTGCAATGCAATTACCACAAAATTTAAAAATAAAAATAAAAGTAGATGGCAAACAGTTTAACTTTGAACTTACAACATTTGGAGTGATTTCTGTAAACGATGGCAAGCAAAATAATTTTTGAATTCTTTAGGAAATTTTTCTTCTCACTTTTTATTTATTTAAATTAAATGACAAAAAAATTTGAATGTTGTTTTAATTGTATTATCATTACAGCTCTTGTATAGAAGTTTATTATTTCATTGAATGAACTAACTGAATGCTTTATCAATGTAAACTGAAATATTTGGGGCATGCTGCAGGTAAAGGTGAATGTTTTTACAGCACACACTCTCCTAAAACAGACTATTTATCATTCTTTGAAAAAAGGGGACATGAAAAAACAATACTATGTGTGTGGCCTACATTACCTTCACTTAATGCACTAAATACGGGTTTTTTAGAAAATTGTGCAGTTTCTGCACCATTGATAATCTGACAGTAAGTATTTATTGAAGGTAAAACACTCATTGTCTGTTGACACTATTTGTTTTAATATATAATCTTGCTAACCAAATGATCTTTAAGCAATGCAGATAAGCAATGGCATGCAAAGGGTCACTTAAATGCCAATTTGGCTGTTTCATAAACTTAAGCATTCTTTTCCCATGACTATTCTCAGCTACTTAATTGAAAGTATTATCCATTTACAAACTTTAGGCCTGCCATAAAAAGGCTCTCTTCTGTATCCAATAGACCTTTCAGAACCCTAAGAACAACAAAAGGTAATAATTAAAGGTCCTTCGTTTTTTCCCCCCTTTTCCCAATAGAGAAGTGAAGAAGCAACCTATGGTACATCTAAACAAAGCTATCTATAAAGATCTTATTAGCAGTGAAGACCATAAAACTGAAGAGTCTCACTTGACATGGGATGGACAGGATCAGTTAAATTAGGACACGGTCTGTACTACTTTTGTAATCTGCACTCCTACTACAGAATGACAGATACAACCTATGACAGGAGCAAGGTAATAAGCAGTTGTCCTTAAATTACAGCTCTCCATGTAAAATCTCCTGAATTTCAGACAAGCACTGACTGTAATACAAATTCAAGTTAATGAATTTTTAATACATCTTCTCTATTTAAAGATGATGACTTACAGCTGGCATTGCTTATATTAAATTTGTGGTATTTTCCATTGTTTGTTTTTAATTATTTTGATTAGATTATGCTTGGAATTGTATGGACAAATTCAACCCCCACATAAGCAACTTCAGTTTCTGCTGCAGTCAAGAGAAGTTTCATCTGCATACAGCAGGACTAAATAGGCCCTCTGGATTTTAAAAACCATAAATCAGAACCATTTCAAGGAGATAAATAACAAATTAAAACTAGAGATAGCAAACTAAGCTTGGTAATTTAGATCAGAAACTGCAAGTGTTCAGATCCAAATTTGGGGGGATGGGATTATTTCTTCTCAAAATTTATCTATCATGCTATACACTAAGAACTTAATATATTTTCAGTAACTTTCTTATAATAATGAAACACAATTAAAGAATTACTTCATATTTGAAGCCTGAGGTGGCAAAGATTGTTGCAAGTCGTGTTCCTCTTGCAGCTGTTTCTGAACTTCACCTGGTTTAATTTTTAATATTGCTTTTCCGTCCACCTGTAGCACATCCAAGGATGGAGCCTAAAATGTTCATGAATGGAAGATAAACACAGTATTACAAACTGATAGGTTATATGGATATTTTCACACCCACTCTAGAGTAGAACAAGAAGCAATGACACAGTAGTTTAGAACTGCTGTCACTACTCAGATTACAGCAGCACCCACAGCTATTCAGGATATGGAATAAGCAGAAAAGCGTGATAAATCAAAATTTCCAATGGGCCCTAGCTAAATTGCATTTCTGAATAGTGTATGAGAGGACTGTATTTTAACATATTACAGAGAGAATAATCAAAAGAGCATCAAAATCATATTACTATTCAGAACTATTGAACTTAGAAGAGCATAAACACATCTAAAATTTGTATTAGATTTTTAAGCAAGTTCAAGCAGATACACATAGTGTCAAAGATGACTGACATTTTTAGAGAAGTTTCTTCAAGGTTATTTTATTATTCCTGAAACTTTATCAGGAATACAGATTTAAGGAATTCCTACTGTTTCTACCCACAGTTGCTCATTCCTATTTATTAAAGCACCACGTGCTTAGTTGTGTCAAAATTCGCATGGAAAAATTATGGAAGTTTATAGTTCATAAGTAAGTACATTAATCACCAAGTAAAAGACACTAAGAACTGTAGAGGATACCTAAGAGAGTCACTACCTTCTGAAAAGGCTTCTTCAAAATTAAAATGGTTTCATATTGAAACCAATACCACTGTTTATATCAGCACATACATGAAAAAATATGAAGGACCACAGTCAGATATTTGAAGTTTACCAGAGAAACTTGAAGTCAGCCAAAATTTTACATAGACAAAATAGGCTAACAAAAATAAGAAATACAGAAAAGTTTGAAAGTAGTCTGTCTACCCGAAAATCTATCATTCCAATGAGCCAAATAAAAGACTACAATTTCTGCTTTTGAACATCAGGTAAATGTTTCTGTCACAATCTCTTGTCCAATTTAAAGAAAAAATGTAACCCGATTGGATACATTGCCATTACCAGCTTTTGGAATGTCAAGATACATGATATTTTTTTTCAAATTATTTGAAAGTGATATTCAAAGTAACAAGATATTCAGCAACATTTATTGATAACTTAGACACCAGTATGGCTAATGAAAACCTCCAAAACTAAAATTACAGCAGCTCTTATTCTAAAATATTAAGCCAAAGTTTAGCGATCTCATCTTTTATGTGAAACAGATCATGAAGGGCAACTTCAACACACTTTTTGCTAATGAATTATGGAAACTATACTAAGTAGAGGGGAGTTCCTCTAAGCCTAAAAATCAAAGAACAAGAGTCAACCCATTTATTATTAGACGGACACTTTAAATGTATTTAATCTCACATTTTATTTCATTTTCTTTGTAGAAATACCAGTGAACACACTTCTTAATCAAAATATTTTTGTAATTCAGTTACATATGTAACATAAAATTACAATAACAAGAGCAAATATCTGCATTTTTTCATCTGATTGCTTTGTGTATAACCAAATTTGCAAGTTCATCTGCACAATCAAGAAATTTATCTGTGCAGCCCACAAAGCAAAGCAAAATAATTTCAAAAATAAAATGTCACAAAAACATGCAATGAATAGTGTTCAATAGAAATACTAACATACAGTACATCACCGTTACTCTGTACAGAAACAGTTCTGCTAAGGATGCAATAGAACATTTAGCTAATACATATGGGCTGTTAAAAACATTTCCTTTTTCTAAAATTTTGTCTCCATTATTTTTTCCATGTGTATAAGTGAAAGCATGCATTTCAGATTAAATAATATCTTTAAATCACATAGTACTTGTGTTAAATAGAAGCAAGTGTATGTTATCTTTTCAGGTGCCAGTCTTGCAAACTACTGTGTTGTAAGATGACTGAACACACACTGATGGGTGTTGTGGCAACAATGCCACCAGTGCATTACAGAAGTGGCAACGCTGCCCAAAATAATACCATCTAAAAAACTTCATCATAGTCCCCCAGTACTGTTTAAATAACTGGGAAACTGTTCTGTTGGCAAATAGTATATAATTTAGAAGTAATAAATAATCTTACTGTATTCTTGATTATAAAAATTACCGTCAGTGACATCGTACTGTGTTTTGTTTACACATCATTCAGCACATTTAGTTTAGTAACCAACAGATCAACTGATGTTGCAGAGTATACTCAAAAATACCTCCAAACATCATTATCAATTATATAAAATGATATAGCCAAGTATATATAGCACATGAAATTTCAGTTTCAGAAGGATTAGAAATATCACTGATCTACAAATAGACCAATATTGTGAGGAAAATTTCGAAACACAAGATTTTCTTCTAATTTAGCAGAATTTTTAAGAAGCAATATAATTCCATTTTCAGCCATTGCCTTCAACAGAAGAACTCCAACCCATGTAACCGAAGCTATTTTGTTACCACAAGAAGTTGCTAGGAAATATGACTCCTTAGCTGTCGAAGAATGCCTGCCAGCTGGAACTGCTCAGGCCAGCATCACCAGGTCACGTAGGGCTTTACTTCATGTCCACTGCAGCCCCATTGCAGAATGCAGTACCAGGACTGACGGGGAGTTTCTGTCATCTCCCTGTGACACCCTCCCAGAACTCCCCTGTCCTTTCACTCCTGAGCGCAAGGTGTGTGCATCTTTGGTTCTTGTTTATCCTAAAATTGATCAGGAAAGTTGGTTGCTAATGCTCTGGAATTCTAGGCACATACCTACCTCTCTCTATCCCTTACTCCATGCAGCTTGAAAAGACAGAATCAGGGCCAAACTACAGTCAGTGGGAGGAGCTGAAGAAGCAGCTGAAGTATGGCCCTTAGACATTCAGAAGGTTTCTCATTTTGACTAGACCTCTGCATTATGACGACCCTGAAACCTACTTGCAAATATTGGGCCATCAAAAAGCATCCCACATGTGTGCCTCGTCCTCTTTTCATTTTGGTCCATTTACCTCCTTCTTTTAAACACCTATATCTGTCTTCCCATGCAACTTTGTGTTCATCTCATTTATTTAAGTTTAGACCAAAGCTATCTGGTGTATCCACACATAACACCACCTAGTGGAAATGCACCCCATTGTTGCTTGCCCTTCGCATAATAACATTTTAAATATAATAAATAGTGTTATTCTCTTTTTACAATAAGCATATATAATAACTTTAAGACAAAGTAATCATCTACATTCGAAGCTGCAGAAGGAACCCCGTTAGTGTTTTATTTTAGTATCTGGTTACAGCCTTGAAATACCAGAACACTAGAAACCGACAATGTATGGGAAAAGACATTATATGGTCTTAGCAACAAATTTGTTCTCTGTGGTACTCTCTATGAACTCGATACATGTTCTCTACTAAAAATCTAAGCTTTATAGAGTTGATATCCTAATGACAGCTTTTGTCATGTGAGAAATATCGCAAAACCGAAAGGATATGGAGCATTATGCCAATTTCAAGGAAGGCATCCACTTGTTAAATGTAGATTAGGATTCTATTTATACATTGTTTCATTTGTAATCTTCTTTCCAATCTCATAAAGAAAAGCCTAACCCAGCATCTGACCGAATGAACCTTAATTTGTTTTTTCCTCTAACCTTAAGCTGCAAGACCAGTATGAAGACCTGTTTTATAGAAAATCTTCTTTTACAGGGCAGGTGGTAAGGATACAGCTTGCAGTGCAGACCTCTTGGATGCTCTAAAGCATCAAAACCTTAAGAATGGGAAAACTTATACTATCTCATAATAGTACTAAACCTGCTTACCTGCTTCACCGGCCTCTTATATGTTAACAGCTCAGCTTCAGGCCGAGATTCATTTCTTGCTGCTTGAGATTCTTTCTGAACTACTGGTGTCTTCTGAGGGAAAAAATATAAATAAATCAATACAATATTTACTATATGCAATTATTCTTTCATCATCCATGCATTTTATGAAGCATCTAGAACACTATCAATTTTATCTTATGCCAAATATTTCCTCAATAGCTAACTAGGTTTCCAAAAATAAATACAGTAATAGGCAAAGGACCTACAATGATTAAGACCACATAATAATATTTATAGAGATTTCTTATCAAAGGTTATGGTCAGTTTCTTCTACAAATTGCAATTGTAAGAAGAAATTGCAAAATATAGGAAGAAATATACATCAGAAATTCATATCAAGAGATCTATGATCCCTTAAAACAAAGTCATTAATGCCACTAAACATTAAGCAATCTCCCAAACATATCTAAGTTTAAATATCTAAATTTTAAAAACAGTTTGAATGAAAGGCATAAAATGATGGGCACTAATATATATGAATATAGATGAAAGCCTTATGATTCCATTGCCCTAATTGGCACCCTATTTAATAAAAGCAAAACTCTTTATATCCAGCAGTCGGAGAATCAAACCCCATAAGAAAAGGAATGAACAAGAGACACAAAAGCAAAAGAGAGAAAAATAAAGGTTTACTTGTGATTTATGAAGTACCAAAATGTTTCCAAGGAGTATTTCATTTCCTTCCCGGTTTTATCAGTTTAAAATATGAACTACCTATCTTAACAACTCTGCAAGCAAATAGAAGCACTATTAACTTATTATATTTTAACATTCCTAGATAATGCAGAATGTTAACAGGCTTGCTTGGTGAAAACTTGGCAGGACTTGAGATTCAGTTTTTATTTCCTCATGTTCAATTGGCGCCTGTTGTATAAGCAAGAGAAGAAAACTAGTTTCAAACAAGAATGCTAATAAAATATTATTCATACTACCTGATAGAACAAAACAACATCAAAACACATTATATGCATAAATTAGAGTTTAGTTCTTAGACAAATTATTTTGAAAGCAACAAGTACACTCAGAGGCAAATGATCTTAGGCTCATCTTTTGCAAACATTTACACACATGCTCAGCTCTTTACTATAAATAACTTCTCGGTGGAACTGCTTACAGTACATAAGTTTAAAAACTGACTGCAATTTTCAGTTAATCACTTTCTCCACCGGAGAAAATTATAGTTGTTCCAGTAGCAGAAAAGCTACTACAAAATTTGAAGTTCTTCTTAGTTTCCAGACATACTATTCCTTCTCGTCAAAAGAATGGTTCAACAAGACCCCCTTGGTTACAGTATATCCATATGAAAAAAAGCAGAAATAAGATGCAGGAACAACTCTTTAAACAGATGGTAGTTTTAAGGACAGCGTGCTTTCTGAGCACCTGGTTAGCATACATGTACGTAACTCAGCACACATGTACTTTACCCTTTGTGCCATATACTGGCTTAGGAACCAAGTTTTAAAGATAACAGTAACAAACAGAAGTATCACATCTAAACCACATTTCATTTTAGAATACAATTCTTTAAAACTGCTACAGAAATGTTAAATATTTCTGGGGAAAATATTTCAGAGCCACAAGGTGATGCAATAATGCATTAAAGCTATCAGTTGAATATGTATTAGAAGCAGTCTGCCGTGTCATGAAAAAAAACCTTTTCCTGGCATTGCAAATGTTCATTTGCCTTTTTAATGTAAGAATCTTCCACGCAGTAGAATTTTTATTCCATTGAGTGTATTGTCCACCTAACAATCTAAAAAAAATTTTTTTTTTTAATGCCCAGGATTTATTGCATTTAACTTTAATACATGTAAAAACGTATTCTGAGCTGCAACATTTTTTTCCTTGCGTATTAGAAAATGGAAAGGAAAAAAAAAAATTAAGCCTCCAGGCCAACACAAAGTAATAGATGCATATACTACCCCAAAAAAGTAAACTGTAAACCTATAAAAAGCAATGGCCTTGCAGAATATTGTACACATTGGTATTTTGCTTTTAACCAGAGCCTTACTAGTTTATTTACCTTTGACAGGAAAGACAGCTTAAGAAAAAAACAAATCATATTACATATATTTTCATTACCATGAGAGCAAGGAACTAAAATAAAGGAATGTAGTAACAACTCCAACTAAAAGGAACACAGCCGGCATTATCTTCCCAGGCTATACCAAACCTTCCTCGCCTTTGCAACACATGTATGTTTTCAAACATGGTGATTACCATGGACTATTCATTACTATAATCAATCTTAGCCAACTGGAATTCTTTCCTCGTGTAATATATTAACCAATTCATGGAATCAGAGAGAAATTTTCACAAAGCTTTTCATTCAACCTGGATCAACTTACATTTCTAAACTATTGCATAATATGTAAATTACAATTTTACATATTAATTTTCCTGTTCTGTCAAAACCAACAGAATTATATGAGCAAATATTATCTTAATTTCATTTTAGACACCTGGACATGTTATATGACTGATTTCCTTTGTTGGGTGCGGTGTTTTCTCTTTTGTCCACTCCTCATGGGAGAATTGCAGGCACAAAGCTATTGTGTTATTTTAATAAAATGATGTGTACTGTCTATATATGTATTGTGGGCTGTGTGTTTGCATTAACAAAAACAAGGCCAAATATAACTTTGGGAAATAAAAGCATTGAGAACTGTGGCAACTCTTAACTTCTGTGGGAATCTGTTCTTGAGTATTCTACCCATTCTTGAGAAAGCTGTTTCCTGCACTGATATCTTAACCTTGCGATGGAAACTTATACTGTACCTTTGAAAAATAGCCTTATTAGTCACAGCCTTCCTCCTGCTGGTGCAGAAAACTATTTAGGTACCCAAACACCTTGGTAATTCATCAGAAACCATTTTAACATTATCAGTCATTTTGGTAGGTTTATGGTATCTTTTGTAACTGAAAAGTCTTATTGTGAGTCCTGACATACAGAAAATTAAGAAGTTGTTGTTGTTGTCTGGGTTGTTGTTTGGTTTTGTTATTTTTTTTTAATAATTACATCTATATTTATCTTCAATATTTTCATCTGGTATTTCTTTGATTCCTCATTTGATATTTACATGCTATTAAAATAAATAATTTTCCTCTCTGTTTTGACAATAAGTCTCTACCACCAGTGCAGAAAAGACCCTGATAAATGACAAAACAAAGTCAATATAGATTTGCGAACATACCAACATTCTAAAACAGTATTTTAACATGGTGAATTTCTACAAGTTACTTATACACAAAGCTAATCACCCTGTGTTCCCTTGACAAAGCCTGGAACTCTCAGAGATTACAATCTACCTGATTAAAAGCAATTTTTTCTAATATTATACTAGCATCTTACTGACCCAATAAGGATTAGTCTCCCATTTTGTTAGGCTTCAGGGTAAAAAGATAGTCCTTGCTCGATGAAACCTGTAGTGTTTTTAAGACAAGTGTAAATGATGTGGGCCTAACAATCATAATAAGTGGAAAGTAATTGTTAATAAAATGTAACAAACTGCACAACTGGATTGCTTTAATTAGTTACTTGCACTGGTAAATTTGAAGAAATAAACACATTTCAGAAGTCCACACATGAACCACCTACCCAACATCTCTCCCTGGGCAGTTTCTTGCAATGCTATGAAAATAAAACATCTTTTTTAAAAAAAAAAAAATCTAAAGTAATGTCAGTTGATTTCAGAAGTCCACACATGTGAACCACCTACCCAACATCTCTCCCTAGGCAGTTTCTTGCAATGTTATGAAAATAAAACATCTTTTTAAAAAAAAAAAAAATCTAAAGTAATGTCAGTTAACTATTCCAGAAAAAAAAATTTCAAGTGGTAGTGTCCACCCTTGAAGACTAAGAGGCTCAGCAAGTTGCAGGAAGTGGCATAGCTTTTGCCATGATTAACCTTATTGAGCATAGTCAAACTGTGTACTTCTTGAATTAATAATATCATAGCAGCCTTATAATAAAAAACATCGATTTAGCTACATTTAATGGATACTAAGACCATGAGAAGAACATTCTATAAGCCATTCTGGAAGGAAAAAACAAGAAAACCAATAGGAAGAGCTAGGGTTTTCCCCCTTATAGAGAATTAGATGAAAAACTGAAGTATCTTCTTCATTTGCATGACACTTAGAATACACCTTATAGCACGTAAAGGGAAAAAAAATATATTTTCAATAAGCCTCTCAAAATACTGTTTTATCAGAAAGCAATATATTATCTGTTTAACTTTCGTATCAGCTGAAATATAAAGAGCATATAGAGCAAGTGAGATACTGTAAAGTTATGAGAAAATATTTGTTTGTTTATAGATACAAAGCAAATACAAGTCTATGTCTTCTCGAATTTTAACAATAATCGGTCTTCATCAAACCACTTTCGAGAGAGAACTAATGCATTACAGAGAAAATCTTCTCAAGGCCTCACTATTGAGATTAGCTGACAAGATATTGTGTACTTCTTGAATTAATAACCTCATAGCAGGCTCATAATAAAAAACATTGATTTAGCTACATTTAATGGATACTAAGACCACTGTGTACTTCTTGAATTAATAATATCATAGCAGCCTTATAATAAAAAACATCGATTTAGCTACATTTAATGGATACTAAGACCATGAGAAGAACATTCTATAAGCCATTCTGGAAGGAAAAAATAAGAAAACCAATAGGAAGAACTAGGATTTTCCCCCTTATAGAGAATTAAATGAACAATTGAAGTATCTTCTTCATTTGCATGACACTTAGAATACACCTTATAGCACGTAAAGGGAAAAAAAATATATTTTCAATAAGCCTCTCAAAATACTGTTTTATCAGAAAGCAATATATTATCTGTTGTATAACTTTCGTATCAGCTGAAATATAAAGAGCATATAGAGCAAGTGAGATACTGTAAAGTTATGAGAAAACATTTGTTTGTTTATAGATACAAAGCAAATACAAGTCTATGTCTTCTCGAATTTTAACAATAATCGGTCTTCATCAAACCACTTTCGAGAGAGAACTAATGCATTACAGAGAAAATCTTCTCAAGGCCTCACTATTGAGATTAGCTGACAAGAGCTGGAGATGTTTTTTTAGAACTGAAGCATATTTTATCTTGTCTTCCTGATAGTATGGTGCACTGTATAGTCCTTGTTTAACGGAAGCATTCAAATTTGATGTTATTTTTCAAGAACAAAAATGTTGTTCATTTAGTTACCACCCTCACAAGCTCATCTGAGGTACCAAAACACTGATCTGCTGAAAACAATAACTAACTAAAGATGATGAGCTGCAGGTTCATCACCAAGAAAATGCATTTCTGAAGTAAATATAAATAGCCTCCTATGGATACTAAATCAAATACATAACTTAATAACTCAATATATATCAAGCCTCAAGGCAACAAAATTACTCCAGGCATTGAAACTGATATTATTCTTATAATAAAAATTCTACTTTTTAACAGAAAGAGTGGTAAGAATCATTATTGATAACTGACTTCCCTTGAAGGAAACAGGGCTGAGTACTAATGTCTCACTGAGCTGGTATTCCATTCCCCAGGTAATGCTTTTTGATGCTGGGGGAAAAACAGTGCTCAGCCCCCAAAGCAGTATCATAAGCTATCCATGGTAGCCAGTCATTAATGCAAGAACAAGAACAAGATAAAGAGTTGTAAGAAAGGAAAAACACATTTAATTCTGAGAGCTTGTTTTCATTTTAGTAGTTCTGTTCTTTTCCTTGCTATTTCTCTTTCATTTAAAAGAATATATTTCTTACTTCATTAGAGAAGGCAAGCCTTGAAGCCCAGTGTAACGTAAATAAACCATTCGTAATAATAATAAAGAATTGCTAGTCTTCATCTTATTTATAAGGTCACTTAAGTTCAAAAAACGCCTGCTGCAAATGCCTTTGATTTTTTTAAAAAAAAAAGTAATCAGCAAGGGTGTCATTCATTCTCACTAATGTCCATATGTCTATACCTAAAAAAACATTAAACAATAAACCAGAAAGCCATCAGCAAGTTCAAATTTTCATTTTACTTTGAGCCTGATTGATGTAAGTTTTAGAAATAAAGAATTAAACATCACAGTACTCCAGAGGTCAGATTTTCAAAGCTCTGAGCCCAGTAGCTCCTACTACAAACAACAGAAAATCAGTTCACTTCAAATTAAGAACATTAGGACTTGTTAGGGGCCAAATTTTTTAAATCTTACATAGAGTATAAGCCAAACTTATAAAAGAGTAAGAAAAAACACATAACACCACACACATTACTAATCACTAATAATTATTTTGGGTAAGTTGAACAAGAGATGGTTTTCCAGATCCAGGATCTTCTTTAGCCCCCTTCCGATCTGCCCTGAAGTATTTTTGAATCCAGCTGGAAAATTTCAACCAAAGGGAACAGTCCCAAGTTATTATCTTCCTAAAATGCAAATCAATTAATGCCACACTTAGGAAAGTCTTCTCTGATTTCAGTCCCAATTGAAATACACCAGAAATTATACAGAGAGTGGGAGACACTGTGAATGCCTCAAACACACAATCAGCTCCCAGAAGCACAGAACAGAAGAAAATCAAATCAGAGGACATAAATCTATTTCAGACTACTTCTGCTTATGGACTCAGACAGTGAAATTGACTCAGTTCAGGATCCAGTTTTCTCCTAACTTTTGTATTTAATCAAAAGACAGTCAATCTCACATTAAGAGAACGTAAGGTACTACACTTATATTCTATGAGAGGTCTCTACAATCACAAAAGGTAGCATTTTGATAGCTGTGGGAAACAAAGTTCTTTATCACCTCCTAAAGTTCATATGCTTTTCATCAGTCTTCCATATTTGCTTGCAGAGGCAGTTGTTGCTGAAAAGCAGTAGTTCACCCTCCATGGATCTATTCATTCCATGGCATCCCTAACGTGTGCTAGCATGAATACCAAGTGCGATAGTGATTTTTGTGACGTAAGTTTCAGCCCTGCTGGAACTAGAACAAAACCATCAGTCTGGCTAAGAGAGGACAAAGAACCATCTGATAGTAAGTTACTAGTCTATTTAACAAATTAATTAACAATCCTTTGGTGAAAATCTAGAAAAGTTTGCTGTAGCATCTACCTGATGCCTAGTATTACTGATATCTTCTGCTGTAATTCAATGAAGTGACTCTCTTACAGCTGCTTACACAATCTGTGACAATAAAGAATTTGTCTTATCGAGAGTTCACCAGCTAAACAATAACTAAAAGAAGCAATACTTTCAACAATATCCCAAATGCATTTAATGCACTTTTTCATCTGTCAGACTAGAATACATCATCTTAAAAAAGGGAAAGGAGAGTAAAGAAAAAAAGGTATTAAACTATAAGCAGTATAATAAAAATAACACCCCAAAAGAGCTTATGATTTAACATATATTCATATCAGTTCGTTTTTAAGAGACATCAAAAAATATGGCAGAAGAAACAGTTAAGAATATTCTATGACACATTAGTGTCTTTATGCATTTGTTTTGTCTGGCTTCTGTGTTGTAACACATTGTAGGAGCTGAAAAAAAATATACAGCTCTTATAAAAGTAATATTTACCCAAGAGAAAAATATTGCTCTTGTTCTGGTTCACCTACTTCCATTTTTATGTTGTAGTTCTGGCCAAGAACACTCTCCAGGAGTTCTTTGATCATCTGGTCTGAGGGAGATGGAGAAGTAGACTGCAGGGAAGCAATTATTTCATCAATAGACCTTGCAACCACTTTCACAGGCAGTGCTGGTGTGGAAGTAGGCTCTTCAGGTTTGCTCTGCTGGAAGTTCTTCTCGTATATTTTTGAAGTGTCTGGTCTAGTCACATCTCTTACCTCTTCCAACTGTTCTTGAGCAGACCTCACACTTGGCTGCTTGCTTCCTTTTCTCAGTACTCTTCCCGATTCAACATCTAAATCGTGTTGTTTTGCTTTTGAAATCACTCTTCTTCCCTTCTCACAGCCCTCCCTGGTTATTTTTCCCTTTCTTGAAATGGTTTTACTTGTATCAGAATCTGTAGAGCTAAATTCATCACTATCATTAAACACAGTATCTATTTCTTCACTTTTATCTATTTTTAAATTCTGGGGATCCATCTGTAGCATATGCACTTTGTCCTTTATTTTACTAACAGCTTTTGTCTTTTCTAATGAGATAAGGGAGTTATTAACATGAAAATTAGACCTGCAGTAACTTGGCATCCTAGGTGGTGGTGGGTGCTTGACCATTATGACTTTTTTAGTGGTACCTGCAAATGGTGCTATTACTGGCAGTTTTAGAACTGTACTTTCATGACTACAAGCGGCATTTCCTCTGTCAACTTTTTTAGAGCAACTTCTTTGCTTTTTGTCAGCATTGTCTTCTTCCACAGATTTACTTCTTTGCGTCATCACCCTGACATCAGGAGTCTGTTTTTTCATGTCTCTTACTTCAGAAGATACCCTTACTTTCTGTGAACATCAGAACGCCCAATGAATTAATTAGGAATATTTTTATTTATATTCATGGCAGGCTTATGTGGGCTCTTTGACCTCTGGAGAGGATAATGTTCTAAACTGACATAATTGATCTGGTGTTAAATCTTCCAATAAAGGTGAAATGCTCACGTTTCTAGGAGCAGTAACTATTGCTTGTTTGATCTTCAGGCTACCCCACTGAGATTCCCTGCATATACTCTCACGTTCCTTAACCGCATTCAGCTCTTCCACAGAACTCAGTCCAAAGTGCTGGTGTTTTCTAGCAGTTTTGTCCTATCTGAAGCCTGTAAATTCAAACAGGAACGAGCTTTGGTATCTTATATGCCAACACAAAACCCAGCCTTGCAAAGAGTACTTCATTTTGCTAAGGGCCCCATTGATTTTAACAAGATTTTTCTGAACATAAACAACTAAGCACCAGCAATGCTATTAGCGTTTTACCCGAGAAAACAACCGAACCATTTCTACCTGTGGGAGCTGGATAGAAACTCCCAAGAGAGAAAAAAAAATATGAGAAAGGATAAAGCTCGACGCCTCCTCAAAATAACCACAAAAAGCTCTCCACCTGCAAAAACCAGTGACCCGTCCAAGCCTCACCTCTCCCTCCCGAGCAGGCAAAGGGCCCCCCTCCCTCAGCCGAGTACCCCACAGCCCGACAGCCCGCCCCGGGGCAGCGGCCCCACCACGCACCGACACAGGCCCCGCAAAGGAGGGGTTCTAGTCTCCCCCCAGCACAACGGGGATGACACCGAGCCGGGCCCGCAGCCCCAAGAGGAGGAGGTAGTGGAGGTGGAGGAGGAGAAGAAGGAACCGCCGCTGCCGCTCCCCCAGGAGCCGGCGAGCAGGGAAGGACGCGCGCGCCGTAACCAAGCAACCACGCTCCCGCTGGGGGGAGAGAGCGGCTGCCACCCCTCGCGAGCGCCCCCTGCCGGAGGGGAGGGCTGGGCCCGGCAGCGCCCGCCGGCTCCCCGCTCCCCGTGGGAGGCGGGGGCGTGGGGGAGTTCACGTGTAGGGAATCGCTCCTTTGAGTGAGCCCAAATGCGAAGGTCTGCAAGTCTCAGCGTCATCCAGAGGCGTCGTTAGAAAGGTTCAACCAGGTTTCTGCAGGCCGCAGTGCAGCTGAGGTCCTTCATAGCGTTGCATCTTTGCGTTTCATTCTGTGCAGGGCAAACCCTGGTCTGCTCTCAGGCAGGGGCTCCTTAAAGTCCTGCCCTACAACCCAAATGTCCACTCTCAGGCAGGGGCTCCTTAAAGTCCTGCCCTGCAACCCAAATGTACAGATGGGGTTGCTGGGGATTGGTGTGCCATGCAGCACAGCCGCTTCCCAAATGCATTTTTCCTTTCAAACTAATTTCCCTAATTGTCAAAGAGTCAGCTTGGAGATGAAAGCCCAACTCAGCTGCGTTTGACTCGTTTATCATTGTCAATAAAGTTTCTGCCGTCAGGATTTAATTTATAATAATAGGGATTGCCTGCAACAGGGTAGACTCCATCTCAGACTCCATGAACCAACCCACTTTCGCAGTATTAACGTGAGCAAAAAGTCTGAAAGCAGTTCTCTGGGAGGAATCCGGACTCTGTGGCTTACAGTTTTACCAGCTTGCCCGTCAAAGAACAGAGGTATCAAATATATTTGACAGCTGTCTGCTGAAAGTTAAATTTTAACAGCAGTTCTTTTCACACATGAAGTATGAAGTAAAAGTGGACCAAGAAAATTTATGACAGCTTCAGTGTCCAACAAATGTAGGGATGATAAAGTGTGCCAAAAATCATCAAACTGTAGGAAAGAAATTTTTAAAAAATGAACATATAAATAAAAAGAAAATGTTTACAGTTAAAGTGACTCTATGAAGCTGGTTATAACTGTGGCACAAACCTACAAGGTCACATTGACCAGGTTCCCAAGAACGCTGGCTGTGTAGAACACAGGCAAAGCAAAGCAGCTTATAGCAGTAAGGGAAAGAAAAAAAAAGTTTCTCACATATAATCTGCACTCAAAGCACTGGATTTTCCATGAATCTCTGGGCTGCAACAGTTGTCAAAATTATGTTTATAATCCACTTATGTCTCTTATGGTGGGTAAAAATAAAGTTGGGGTTTTTTTTCTTTCTTCAGTTTGTGTCTCCAAACACCCATGTAATAACAAGGAACTGTAGGGACTAACTGAATATATTGGATTCAAATGTGTTACTCAACTGATTGAAAGACTCCACTGATTTAATAGGCAAGTGTCTTCTATTATATTCTCCTTTCTTTGTAGCTTTCAGCTACAGCTTTGTAGCTTTTTTTTTCCCTACTTAATTGTATTTATTCCTGGAGTTCAAGGGGGTAGCCAGTGTACTTCTTGAAAACAATGCTTCTTCTGGCATAGATGGCCCACTTTTAGCTTGCTAATGCCTCTAAAAACTTGTTGAAGATTAAAAACTCATTTGCCAATCACATTACACCCCAATTAGTAGCAGGTTTTCTTCTGATAGCAAGATAACTGATTAAAGCTCTGTAGTACACCCTGGGAAGCCTATCTATTTGGTGTCTAGTTTGCCTCTCCCTCTCTCTATTAGGAATCCCACAGTGGCTGGAGGAGCAGAAGGTGGAATACGAAGTAGTTGATCTGTGTTGAAGGATTCCTGTTAGCTGTCCAGGCCATTAGAGCAGTTCAGAACAGGAATGAAGTTTTTTGATTGCCTCATTGAAGATGAATCCTATTAGCAGTTTAATGCAGTTGTAAGCCTAGAGAACAGATACATTTCAAACTAGTTAAACAGTAAGTAAAGCCTCAACAATTTCATTTACCCAGAACAGTTCCTCTCTGCAGGAGTCACAGTGGGATGTGGAAGAAAAGACCCTGCATGTGAAGAGGTATTTGCATCAGGAAGTTCCAATAAGAAGCCGCTGAATGGCAAGAAGTATTTGCATCAAAAAAATCTTAGGAAGAAGAAAAAATCCTTAGGCATGGGCTTCCTCTTTAGGTTAATCGTTGTGGTAAAATGGAAAATGGGTGTCCTGTGTTACCTTACGGTATCTGTTGTCTGCCAGGTCTGCTTGCAGCAAACCAGGGGCTGGCTCCTGGGGAGCGTAGTTAGGTTGCAAGAAAGGTTCATAAATGTTTCCTGTTTTACAGCATTTAGACTCTAGGTCTTGTAAGCAAAGGGAGTAAGCATCCAAAGGAAGCTAATGTCAAGTTAAATCCCAAATGCTGTATTTTTCCTCTACTAAGCCCCACACATTGCTTAGCAGTCATTCCAGGAATGTGTTGCCAATACATCCTCTACATCCTCAGCTTGAGCTCCAGAGGTGACAGCTGCCGAGACTCTTGTCTCTGATACACAGGAAAACAGAGAAAACTTTTTCCTCTTTCCCCAGGTATTATTAGCAGGTTCCCCTCTCTATATGATCACAGTGATGCATGAAGCCTGAAGATGGTTTTTTTATTAAGTATTTGGTTAAGCATGTTAAGCCCTATCTCTGTAGCTTACAAATTCTGAAATTTAATCAGTAGACGAATCCTTATACTTAGCAAATGGATCTAGATTTGGAAAACCTTATGCAAGTTCAGTGCCTGGGTACACATTATTATTTTTCTTAATTAGGCCTCACCAGATCACTAAGCTTTCTAATATTGCATAAATTGTATCATCTAAGTTATTAGTCTATTAATACTACAAGGAAGGTGGGGGGTTTTTTCTCTCTTTTTAGAAAGAAAAGCAATCATTAAAAAATTGTTCAGTTGGTTGGAGAAAGTAAAAAATTGAGTTTCTTTTCTCCTAAACTGGCTGAGTCCACACCATGTAGGAAGTCCCACCCCCAGTGCACACCATTGCCATGATCCAAGCTCATGCTGGAAGGAGACTGAGATGAGCATAGTGCCCTACAGGCTGTGGGAGGAAACTGAAGCACAGTCAGAAGTTGTTAATGGTTCTCACCTTTGTCTAGGTAATCAGGAATGAGGACAGCATGGTGCATATGAAATATATACAGCCTGGTATGGGCTCTTCAGCAAATGCCAGAAAAGAGTCCTTGGAAAGCTGAATAGCAGATTCTTAAAGGAAAAGGAAAGTAAGCATAACTACTTTGCCAATTCTTCTGGCTTACATCAAGTTTGCCATTAGATGCTAAGCCTTACCTTGGTGTCTGTTTCCAGCTGGGTGTGAAATTCTTTTCACATGAAATGGTCCAAAGCCCCCCCCAGTCCTGCTGGAGGACCCTGCTCCCTTCCTTTCAGTGTGCTGCAGCCAAAGTACTCATCTAATCTACCTCAAAATGGCAGTACACTTGCTCAAAACTATTCACCAATGTAATAGTTCCAGCAAGAATAAGCATATTTACAGATACAGTTTCACTGTGATGCCCAAGTGGCATTATTCCATTTTAGAGACCAGGAGCTAGAACGAAGAGAGTATGAATGACTTTCCAAAGTCTCCTAGTAAAACCAGTGGCAGATTCATAACTGAGTGTGTGCTTCTGACCGCTAGTAAATAGAAAATCAGAGGTATGTATCCTCAGGCTACAAGGCTACTGTTTGCTCTTTGCATCATCTTTGTTTTAATATTTCTGCCACATATATTTATAAAATGGCAATAAATACTCAGAGCAAATCAATTAATTATGAGTTAATATACTGAACTGTGAAGTATGGCCACTGGGAATGCAGCACACAAACTTCTCTGACAATCACACTGTGGGGACAGTAATCTGTAGCACGAGAGTGGAGTAAACAGGTGGGAAGGAAATAGTGTCTTAAATCAGAGACTGTCAATACTGAAAAGCTCTTTGGTTAGTTGCAAGGGTTTGATCCAGCTTTGCTGAAGGAAAAGCTTTTTTTTTTTTTTTTGGTGATCAATCTATGTTGAATCCCTTGTGCAGTAAGCAGCCATAGAAAGGTTTTGTGGAATTAGTGTTATAAATCACACATTCGATACCTTTGTGAGTGTTGAAAGCATTGTCATTCTTCTAATCACTATATCCTATCTTTGATCCATAACAAATATGCGCACCCAGCTCTGCTAATCTCCATTATGATTGTGAGATATCTGTATTTGACAGTACTATGCCAGCAGAAATAGTTAAAATTTTTCTTCCTCCTATGATTTTAGGCTTTGTTGTTTTTTTTTCTTTCCTGATTGAAGCACATTATTTAAGTAATGGCACTTCCTTTATAATTCAAAACAAAAAATGAGTTAAAAGTTGGAAACAAGATGAAGCCTTTTTACTTAAACCATATTTATAATGAGAAAATCATTACAATGAGAAAATAATTTCATCATTTTGAATCATCATGAATCCCAGATTTATTTTTTAGTATGACATGACTGTAATGTTTCCAGATATGTGCCATTTTATTTTATATTGTCCAAGAGAAATTACATGAGTTATTTCTAGAAGCCTGTCACATATAGCCTTTATTATAGGCACAGAGACACTCCTGGTTTTGAAGAAGGCTGTAAGCAATAAATGGAGAAATTACAGCTAAACACCTGCCAAAGTCTTTGCTGGGCTCAGCCCTTTACTTGCTTTAGTTTCAAAATTTGATCATGTTATCTCTGTTCTCCGTTGTCTTTCAGTTAATACAGCAGATTTTCCAGTCAGCTATTCCAGTCCAACTCTTCTGTTCTCTTAGGACAACAGCTTGACTGTGGATATATAGATGTAGATATATATGTGTGTGTTTGTAGATCTCATAGGTTTCACAGCTGAAGACTCAGTGTTGGGGGACACAGAAATCCCATTTAATCACAAGAAAAATCTTCACATCTGATCAGTTTCTTCTGCAAAAGGAGATGCCCTGAAAGGGTGAGAAGGGATGTCTCCGGAGGCTGAAGTTCCAACT